TTCTTGGCTCTAGGGAAATTCATGGCTTCTGGCGTTCTTATAAAATAAATGGCTTGAATCCCAAAGTTAATTTTAAGATATTAAATTAACAAAAAATTTGTCAATACCTACAATTACATAATATGTTTTATCATTTAGATTAGATATTTAGTTTGAAAAATTAAACATGCAACACTTTTAGGATTGATTCATTTTATATAATATAACTTTTCAGTAAAAATTGCCTGGATAATTTTTAATTAGCTGAAAAATTTTATTGCTTATTATTTTATAAACCAAATATCAGTTGATATTGAAAATGCACTCCAAATATATCATAACCTTTGGGAATACAATTCTAACCCTTTTAAGATGAGCCCTCTTCTTTTGCGAGTTCCATCCATTTTAAGTAAAACGAATTAACAATATCTATTTGGATGAGCAACCGGCTAAATATTAATAGAGTTAATTTCTGTTTCCCTTTCGACTTTCCAATTAATGTTATCTTATAATTCCATTACATCTTTTAGTTTATGACTAAATGATTTGCAAAATCATTTCACAGCATGTTTCCTGAACTCAATAGTAATAAACAATAAATATAAATGGCTAAGGCTATGGAAATTGTATCCACCGGAGCATATGGCTCATATTTTTGGTAGTATACTTAGTATGAGTATTAAGGTGTCAACATTCCCCTTTTCACCTGACTATATTTAATTTTTTCGGCAGCTGAAAAAATGTAATCTTTGCCTTTTATTAATTTTAAAATTTTAGCAAATAATATTAATTTTTTTATTATAAAAGTTATTTAATGTAAAAATTACTATCGAAAAAACTATCTAATTTGATAAATAACAGGTGAGCAACAAAAAGTTTATCCTTAACATCACTGGCGTATCCAAGATTTTGCTTATAGGGGGGGGGGGGCACCATTAGGCAAATTTTTTCCCTATAAATTTTATTTGGAATATTGTAGACCTTTGGCTATATTATAATTTTATAAAAATAATTTTGGGTTTTCACATTTTTTTTTTACTAAAATGATTTTTTTCTAAAAATTTTGAATTATTGTTATTTTAAAAAGTTATTAACTTTTACTAATTCTTCTTTCAAATTCTTTCTTATAATAATATATTGTTTAAATTTTTTGGGGAGAGGGGGGGTGAGGGTGTGTACGGGAGAAATTTTAATTAGCTTAAAATTATATTTACGAGAACAGGCAAATTGGTGATGGGGAGGGGGGGATTCATTGGTTATGCGCCTGTTAAACATGTCCTATTTATATTAAAATATGTGCCTAGGGGATTATACACCCTACTTATGAGGTTTATTTTCCTTTCGACTTAAAAAAAAGACTCCGCATTTAATTTAAGATTCAATTTATTCTCCCAACACACATATGATTTGTATAAGATTTTAAATGAAAGTATCAATAAAAACTTTGATGGTAGCTTCCCCGTTCATACGTTGTTTAAGTAAATGAAGAGTTAACTAATGTATATTTGAAATTCTCCTCCAGTGGATAAATAGAAATATGCTTTCCTTCTCACCATCAAATAATTTTTTTTGTTTTCTGCATAATTTTCTTTTCTTTCTTTCCACTGACACAATTTTTATAGAAATCCTATAATAAAATCATATAATGCACTTTTTTCTACATAATTTATTCTTCTTCCTTTTTGGCCGACACTATTTTTATTATACAACCATTGAAACAAGTCGAGAATATTTGCTTTGTGTCTACATCTCGCCTTGTAATATTTTTATCTCTTACAAGAATCACATATTTCTTCGACATTTCCCTCTTAACCTATTATTATATGTGATTGGATGGTAGTTTCGATAGTTGATTGGATGTCATTTGATTATCCTATGTTAGATTTTATGTTTGTATTAGCATTGTTGTTATAATTATAATTTTTTTAATCCTTCTACTAAACGATTTAGATCTTCTCCAGAATTACATTATCTTAATAGTTCTTTTAATCTTATTCTATTTTAGTATTGTTTCTTATTTTTGTTGTTTCTCGGCTTGGTGGATGGATTTTATATCGTTCAAAAATTGTATTTAATTCTAATAATTCTCTTTAAACTTAAATATCAATATATTAGTTGGGATGGGAGTTCTGGATATGTTATATTATAAAGAATATATACTTCCATTCCTCCGATGATAGTCAGCAATGTTTATTTATTTTATATTTTTTGCTCATTATGTTGCTAATGACTAAATTTTAGTAAAAATGGGAGAGACATAGTTCTATTTTTGTCCTTCGGTTAATAATTCAAATCTCAAGGCCATGTTAACTTTCGTTTTGTCATGAATTAATAATTAAGTTCAATCTGTTTAAGCAAAATTTATCATCTATATATTTATGTATCTCTTTGTTTTGCCCAAAAATCAGAATTATGATGGAGAAAATTATAAGTAAAAATGTGTTAAAATTTTATATAACAAAACAGTGTTTGCATAAACGTTTATTTTTAAAATATAATTGCAAAAGAAATCTAACTTATATAAATTTATAACAAAAAGTAATAGATGAGTAACTTGTATAACAAAAATTAGAATTTAACATTCTCTTTCTAGATGTCGAATTTGTTTCCTCCATTTTTCGGATTGTTACATCAGCACATCTTTCTTCTGTAGTCATCACACTACTAATACTCCAATCTGATACCTTCGGGATTTTTACTTAGATACTGTCTTCTACACTTTTTTCGGCCGTTCTTAAGGTTTCTTTTCTAGCCCTCTTCGCATGCTACTTTTTTTACTAACCTCCAAATTTCCTCTCTTCGACGTGCCCTTAGTTCATCCAGTGAAGCTTTATCCTTTTGCTCTTTTCCGGATCCCGTACATTATACCACTCTCCCGATGGTTATTTTACATATTTTCCTATACCCCACCACTTTTTTTGGCACCTACAACTTTTATCCTCATTGCCCCTTTCCCCATAGAGCACAAATTCGTTGTTCTCATAGGATTAACCTTTTTTGTACCTTCACTTTATCTGAATAAGATAGGGGACGAAACTAGGACTTCCACTAGCAAGATTACTCATTTTGCCATGGGGCACTATATAATATTTAGAGTTGAATAACTAGATTCTCGAGCAGATCCGGCCTGCTTTAAATCTATTCTATTATTGTGAGATTTTAAAATTACGGCTGAACAATTTGGGCTAGGCCAAAAATATTTCTTTTACAAAAATCAAACATTTAATCTTGTATTCTTGTTGGAGTCTCTACAATTATATAGATATAGATATCAATAAAGCATTTAAATTACCCTTAACAATTAATAATTTTTATGTTATCCTTATTAAGATGCATCGTTACTAGATCGTTAGGCTACTGTCCGATATTGATATCAGGAGAAAAAACATTTATTAGGCAGATATTGCATAAACTGCTTTAATTTGTGCATAAAAAAATTAATTAAATTTTTGGTTTTGTTTTTATAAGCTGGCAAAAAGTTGACGCTAGTTGTATTGTAGGACGATTAAGAATGTTAGAAGTCAGGTTGTCTGGAAGGTAGTACAGTGGAATAAATCCTATACGGGAGAATTGTGTAACTCACTTACATGCATATAGATTGTATTATTCCATTTAGGGTAAAGGGGGGGGCTTGAATACAAGTAATTATTTATACGACCAATTAGGGCACTTGCTAAAGGACTGCCTTGCAGAAGAAAGAATGACAGAAAATATAGTTGGGTTCGCACTTGTGATCGAAAAACGAAGGGAGGAAGTTGAACCAGAAAAGTGCACCAATTGGAATTATCAAACAATTGTTTGCTTTCAAAGAAGGGCATATGGGCCAACGTCTAAAGAGTTGAATAGATTTTGGAATGCTGTCTTTATTAATACCCAGGGATTTGTTAATTTAGCCCCTACCTCCCTCTTACCCCCTTATTACCCCCCCCCCTCTCTTCTAAAATTAGCAAAAAAATGGAAATTCAAAATAAATTGGCAATATAATGAGGAAATTAAAATTAATATTAAAAAAAGTAAATTTAACCCTGCTACCTCCTCCAATTTTACATGACAATATCCTCTTAATAACTCTTATCCCCTTCCATTTGAATGATGATCTTGCGTACCCCACTCCCCATAATAGAATTCGCCGGACCCATAAAATCCTATATTAATTAAACAATATTACTAAATAAAAAATAAATGATATTTTAGACATAATTTAAATGGAGATAAAAACAGCCACTTATTAAAAAAAGTAACTATTGAAAATAAAATAAATTATAATACCTTTTTTTAATATAATATTCAACAAAAATAAACTAAACGATTATGCAATAAACAGAATATATAGGGGAAATATAATATTAAAATATGATATCATAGGAATGGAAAAATGGAATTTTCAAACTACGCATCATCGACCTACATACTATGTTTGAGTAATAGTTATATAGATATTACATGATATATTATATATTTTTTATTATTATTTAATACCTACCTAGCTACCTGCTTCCCTAAATATTTGTTTTATTTATTTTTTTCTAAATATAGACTCATCATAAAAAACATTTCATTTAATTTATAAGATTGCAATTATGTAATATTAATATTTAATACAATAGGAAAATAAATGAATAATAAAAATATTTTATTTAGATTTCAAAAAATAAGTCTTTATAATAAAATAAATTATATATAAAAATTACAATTATCTAATCGTGTTAACTAGTTAAATTTTTTACTTTACTAATATCGTATCTTGCTTAAGCTTTTTTAAAATCTTGTTTTAAAGTAATAATATTAATTTTTTAAGAAAAATAACATAATTTTGATTTAAAAGTATAAAATATGGATTTCCCATTTTCAGATGAGATAACAAAAATTTTTTTTATAAATAATAACATACGTTTTAAAAATACTTAAAATTTATATATAATTTAAAATAAATCAGATAATATTATTTGATTTATCTTTACAACAAAAAAAGGGACATGGTACATTTTCCTTCCTAATCTTCTTAGAGTAAACGAAAAATTAAATAATTATATTAAATTCCTTGATTTTAAAATATCTTGTTTCTTTGAAATTGATTCAAAATAAAATATTCCTGGAATCCTTCCAACACAGGTAGAGTAATAATTTATGCTCTATACAGATTGCCAACTTATATTATATAGTACATAATTGATATTGGAGATTTGCAAATCCGGGCCATTTTTAAAAAATAATTTCGGTTTGGGCTAGGTCAGGCCGAATATTTTTTAAAAAATTTGGGCTCGGGTCGGGCTTGAATTTTTAAATATGAGATTATTTAATTTTGTGAAATAAATTGATGTATTTTGAAATTTTTTCAAGAAATAAGGCCTCTATTTCTTCATATTTAAATAAATTAGGGCCTGGCTGGGCGGACAAATAATTTTATTAAAAAATTAGACTCGACGCAGACCACTAATTCATATTTAATATTTATTCCCTCATTAAATTTGGGGAGTAAGCTCTGGATATAAAATTTAAATTATAAAATTTTATTATATATAATATAAAGAATTTTGACATAAATTTAAAATTGTCTAGATCTTTATAATATTTCCATTATAGAAAATATAATTAGTTGAATATTGTTGGATTGATTAAACCGTTCTTTCTAAATTGCTTAAGTATAATTCTAAATTTCCCGAATTAATGAATCCAGAAGTCCCTACCCCCTCTTTTCAGATGAGGTCAGTGCATAAAACTTTTGGGATGAATTTCACAAATTGTAGATTGGGCTTGGGTAGACACCAAGTAATAGGTGGAGTGGATTGAATATTAAAAATATTAATTACAGCTCCATTTTTTAAAAATTAAAATTGTTCAATTTAAATTATCATATTTCATCTATTTTGTAATAGCTCATGATGAAAATAAAATATTAAAAATCTACAAAATATAAACTTTTCCTAATTGCAATTGTGTTAAAAATTTATATTAAAGTTATAAATATAATCCAACACAACTAAATATATTTGTTTAAAGTAGTGCTGTAAACATTTCTAAAAAAATTGAACTTGTTATCGTTCAACTTTCATTGGCAATAATCGAACGCGTTCACGTTCAAGTTTACTTTCAAAAAAAAGAAACGCGTTCACGACGTTTGTTCAAATTTTATGATAAATTTTTTAAAAATTTAATTGAATATAAATAAATGTCTTATATTTTTTAATACAATATATTAGCCATGTTAAAAAATCAAAGTTTTATTTTGATATTACAAATACAATATAATAAAAAGATAAAATTTTCTTATTCATTTTTAATAGCAATTTTCAAAATTTTCATCTGAAAGACAGGAACTCTTGGCAATTAATACGGCATTGGCTATTCTAAAAACCCGCTCAACGGAAGTAGATGAGGGGATTGCTGTATTATACTTAATAAATAACTCTTTTAACGCGGAGAATTTATTAAAAACATATAGTTTTGTCCTTTGCTTCAAAAAATTGAGATAAGTTATCCTCCTCCAATCTATCCTCTACTTCTTCGTCAAAAAAAAAGGATATTTCGAAATTAACAGTTCTTGCATTAACATTTCTAGGGTTTTCAAATGCATTTTTTCAATAACGCTATAAGTTTATTTTTTTAGATTCGTTATGTGTAAGTTTTATCCATCGCCATTGAAGCTTGAATACTAGTGTATAATTGCAGAAAGAACATATTATTCTTCATATATATGTTCAAATCTTTAATAAAATAAAATATATGTAATTAATTTAATAGTGTTAGGTTTAATACCTTTTATTAATTCCATTTAATACTGCGTCTGGCAATTTTTAATTTAAAATAACTATCTTTATTGTTGGATTCAAATAGACCACATTTTTTCTTCAAATTCAATGATTTTACTTAGATTATATAAAATCAAATAATTAATATTACAATCAAATGTCGTTAAATTGGAACACGAAGATTTTGAAATGATATAATACATTTCGGGCACATTTTACATTTTTTAAATATTCAATTAGTTCCTTCAATACGGGATGTTACTGTAAAATATTTATCATATTTGGGCCATGGTAATGTTAATTCATCTGATTTTGAATTTTCAGAAACAGATGATGATGATGATGAAATAATAATATCCATGCTTATACTAATCATTTAAATTAAAATATTAACAATAATATACAAATTAATAAACTATAATAATGACGTGTTAAAAAAATTGAAATGTGAAAATGGAATACAGCTGATTATAAAATAAAAGATATTTTTCTTAAAAAATTTGGATTAATATTAAATTTTTAAAATAAATAAAAATAAAAAGTGTTTTTAAAATTGAACGAACGTTAAATTCGAACGCGTTTATCATAAACGCGTTCGAATTCGTGTTCAAAGTTCGTCAAAAATAAAAGGAACGCCATTAATCATTTTTTTCAAAAAAACGAAATTCGTTTGAACGCGTTCGTTTACAGCACTATAATTAAAAGATTTTAAACATAATAAATATAGTAGTGTCGACTCTAATTTTAACCAGACCGGGAAGAATTTTTTTTTAAAAATAATTTGTTCAGTCCCGCCCGATTCCAATTAAAATTTTTATTTATTTGCCCCGAAAAGCCTACCCGAAATAATAATAAAATTTATTTGTCTGCCAGGCCCTGCCCGAATTCTTTTAAATATAGAAATCAATAAATTTTTCAATATAGTTTTATATTTTTACACTAAATAATCGAGCTTTTGATCATTCTACAAACAAATAAAAAAAATATTGATGCTTTGTTCAAAATATATCATTATATTTCAAAATATAAACCCGACCCAGGCAAAATTTCTTCCGACCCAGTCTGAACCGATTTTCTAATAGACTCAACCCAGTACAAACCCCGTTTGAGCCGGGACAGGTACGGGTCTAGCCTATCTTTGCAGATCTCTAATATAAAGTATATAAATTTATTACATTTGCAGTTATATTGGAGGAATAAAATTTTTTTAAAAAAAGTCCCATCAAAATATAATTATCAAAAATTTTAATAAAATTATCTTAAATTTTGTTTTATTAAAAATGTTACGAAAAAATTTATACAAAGTTATACATAAATCAACTATAATGTGTGTAACGTTGTTTAAAAAAATTGAGTATTTTGGAGGAGAGGCGGAAGATGTTTTTTAAATGAATGCGCCAGAAGTTTAAATAATTAAATTAACTCGATTTTGGATGTAAGGGTGTATTTTCGAAATTCAAAAGTCAAAGTAAATATTTTTTTTTAACTAACTCACGAGCTGGTAATTTAATTTTTCTCATAAGTCATGAATTGCAAAACTCATAATTATATCAACAAAAAAATTACGATTATGGATCATCCCCTATATTATAACGAATTATAAAAAGTGAGATAAAGAAATCCTATTGTCAATAAATATTTTTAGCATAATTACAAATATGCATTAACTAAAAATAAAAAAAAATAAAATTTGGAGTTTATACTGACCCCTATTTTAAAAATACAATATATATTTACATTTAAAATTTTCTTTTCTAACAAATCCTGAAAATTATTGAATACAGAACATCTTTTTTAAAAATTCTAAATGAATATAAGCGATTTTCATTGACACGGAAATATGCATTTAAAGAGTGCTTAAATACAAATTAAAAAAAAATGTCAATGTCTGTTTATAAAATTTTTACTTTGCCAGCTTCAGTTTTCAAAATATAATATATACATAATTCAAAATAGGATCCTTTTTTAGCAAATAAAATAGAATAATTTTTTTACATTTTTTTTTATCATAAAATTTATTTTCACTTTTTTTTACAATTAGAGTCATCTTTTTTTTAAAAAAAAACACACCAGCTATGGTGAAATTTAAATATATATTTTTTTAAACATAATATATTAATGAATAAGGAGAGATTATGCTCTTCCCTTTCCAGCTACTTGTAGAAGTTCAAGTTGAGATATTTAAAATTAATTTGCATAAATTTGTGCGAGTATTAACAAAAGTGTGTAGGGGTGGGAGACCACATAAGATATCAACATTTAAATTACACTAATATTAAGAGTTTTAAAAAAAAATGAGGTCAGTGAAAAAATAAATAGATCCATTTTCTTGAGAAAAAATAATAATGAAGGAGGTATAATATAATCCTTAATAATATTGTGTAAATTTTTTATGTTTCATTTCAAAGTATCTTTTTAGACAAAAGTTTATAATTATTTTAAAAAGTAGTAAAATAATGGGTTTAATGTACTTAATTATTTTATGATAATTTATTAAATAGTATAGAAAGGTCAACGGTTAGGGCAAAATGTTTATTTCACCTATAATTGTTCAAAATCCTAATTATTTCTTAAAACTCAAATAGGAAAATTATTTTATTTACATTTAGAGATAAATTAAATTTTATAGGGAAGAAGGTAAAAGAAATGAAGAAAAAGGGTTTAGGGGGACCGGGTATCATGCGACTCCTAAAAGATAAATTGCAATAGAGACAAAAGACTTGACAATTCTTAATAAATATCTCATTTTGTTACCCCAAAAATATTGACAAAATTTTTCCAAAAAAAAAAAATTTGCGATGCCCGCGGAGAGGGTTCTGTTATAATTTTTCCATATAAAAACTATATAATATTTATAAAAAATTTTTTTAATAAATCTCTTTATTAATATTAAAAATAGCATAAGTTATTTATTTAAAAATTAAAAATCAAAATTTCTGTTATTATAAATACAAAAATTGCTGTATAAATGGCTTGTAAGGGGTTTCAACAACTAAACCCATGTGCTCGATCTCTAGATTAATTTCCTAGTCGTTTAAACATCTTTTTTTAAGTAAATTTTATATAGAATAGGGGTTATCCTTTTTATATTTTAGTTATTAGATAAATGAAGTTGCTTATTTTTAAATTTTCTATTGCAGCATTTGAAAAAGTTTCTTTTAAAGGTTAAATTTTCATATTGTTAAATTAAATTTTTTAAATGTGATCCAATTAATATATTAAATATTTCCCTTGGCTCATAAAATTTTCGGTGTCATCTTTGTATATAATTATCAGAAAAAAAGGATTTAATTAATAAACGAAAAAATTCTTTTATGACGTAATCCATTCAAGATTGATTATTCTTACTTAGAAAATAAAATTTTAATTAATCATATTTTATAATATAAATTTTATTTATGCATGAAATATGCGTCTAATTTCCACATTGTCAATTTTGATTAGGCGAAAATCCATCAAAATATTTTTATGCAAATTTATTAAATATTATTTTTTATTTATGAATAAAATAGTTTTAGACCATTCTTTTTTTAGATCAGGGATTGGATCCACTATGAGGTGGTTGTGGTTATAAATTTTATCTAAGTTCTGGTTCTACCAAAGTTATAGATTTATTATAATTTATTCAAAATTTAAAATCGCTATTGCTCTTGGATTTAGGTGCAAAATTCAGCAAATGAATGCATTCTCTATCGAATGAAGGGTGTCTTTCAGGAGTAGCAATACAATTAGCTATATACATATATGCACAACTGTGCTCATAAACTCAACTTTGTCTGGATTTCTACTTGCAAATAAGTACATAAGGGTTAGCATGTACAGGTTTTGAAGCCTTGATTTCTACATGGTGGAGATCCCATATTAGAATTGTAGAGGAGGTAAAGATGATCTTCCCTGCAATCATTTCTTACCCAGAAAATATAGTCCACAATGATGTGGTGAAAATAAAAGGGATTTTTTACATTACTTCACAATTTTATAAAATTATTTGCATGTTTATATTTCAAAAATTATTACAAGAGTACATAATATTTTGTATAAATCTTCGGACAAATCAACAGCCTTGGCTGTTGATGAATCTTCTCTTCTCTTCTCTTCTCTTCTCTTCTCTTCTCTTCTCTTCTCTTCTCTTCTCTTCTCTTCTCTTCTCTTCTCTTCTCTTCTCTTCTCTTCTCTTCTCTTCTCTTCTCTTCTCTTCTCTTCTCTTCTCTTCTCTTCTTATCATTTACCTGTCAGAATTAAGAAATCATTTTTTTATATTTAATCTGTCCAAATTCCAATCGACCGAACCTTCTGGTCTCTATATCTGACGGAAAATACCATATATTACCATTACCTAAATCCCGTGTAAAAGGATTCAATTTCTAATATGGAACTACTCTTGTATTTTTAGCTCCTTCCAATCTGACTTCTAAGATCTCAAAGCATAAGGAGCAGCTAAATATCCCTAACTAATCAGAAATACCCCGCCATCATATTTTTATGCCAATTATCCCCACTACTGTAGACACACATGGGGACCTCAGACTATCTTCTTCAAATAACTAGGTTCACACATTGAATTTGTCGATGAGCCTCGTATGATTGTATCTCGGGTAAAGGCTCGCAATAGCCTACACAAATCCAATTACATTAGCTTCATCGGAAGTCTCCTTCCTAAGGAAACCAATCTAGATTTATTTTTTTTATATATAATAGTTTTTTTTAATATATTTTTTCTTAATATTAAATTAATTTATATAAAAAAAATCATAATTAAATTAATATATACTGATAAAATTAATATAATATTTAATATTTTTTTAAGTATTTTCCTTTTTTATAAATATAATTCATTATTTATTCGGAAAATTACATAACCTGCATAAAATACTAACAAATTATATATATATTTAAGTAAATATAATTACTAATGCCTATATTTTTTAAGACCTGTAGACGTTACTCAAAAAGGTAAGTTGCATTTTATACTATAAAAATAGAAACGTCATTTTGCGTATACACTACCATTTTTAAAGTAACCTGTTTCCCAAAAAGTTTCACTATGAAAAAAAGAAAACATATTAATATCCGTTTTTATATTTAAATTTGTTACACAAATCACAAAATTTAAAACAAATAATTACACTGATAATTATTATGAATATAATATTATAAAATATATTAATAATTTATTTATTCATTTTTTAACAATCTTTTATTAATTTTTAATATATAATTGTTTCTCAAAATTATATCAAATAAATTTTCTCAGCATAGCCTTTCTTTGGGTGCTGAAAAGGTAGTGGCGTAAATCATATTTTATAAAGAAGGTTAAATTGTTTAACAATGATGTATTTTTATTTTTCAAGAAATTATAGTTCATTGGTAAGGTAGGGATGAGACACATCATTATAAAAAAAGAGATTATTTCCCTTATCGTCAGAATCAGTGTGAGTAAACTTCCCTTCCTGAAAAAATGATTAGACTATGTCATTATAAATATAATAAAATTTAAAAATCGGGTAAATTTTTTAGATAATGACTAATTTGAAATTTTTCAGAAAATAAATTTTTTTGTTTTTTTAAAAAAAAGGAAGATGTAAAACCTAAATTCCCAAACGCCGAAAAATAATGTTAGTTTAAATTAATTTTATTTCGCAATTGTATAATAGAGAAAAGCCTATGTAATGGGTAAAAAGTTTAAACTTGAAACTGATTTTTTTTTCTAACCTCTTTAGCACTATCTAATCGTGGGTAAATAGCTACAATCTAAAATTTTTATAATATTTAGTTTAAATATCGAGCGGGTTAGACCTCTTTTAAAAAATCAGTTTTCAATTAAGTTCCTGATCAAATTTCAGCTAAATAGAGTTTAAAATTCCTCAATCCGAGAGCCAGAACCCTGATTTAAATAAAAGGATAAGGTAGGACGTGATATTTTTTAACATAGCATTTTATACCCATGCTAGGTTCAATTAACAACGTTTCTAATATATATATCAAGAAAATTTTAAATAAATAAGAGTATATAACATCCTGGGTAATTCTGAATTCATCAATTTAAATAATTTATACTGTTAGAGCAAGCACTCTATATATTCTGGTATACATTCCGGTCAAATAAAAATTTAAAAATTAAATTGCCATCTAATAAATGATTTAATGAGAGATTCCGAGTATTTATAGATTTCATATCTCAATGCAGCATAATATTTAAAATTGTAAATAAGGAAAGGAATACGGAAAAATATTTATATTTAATAATGTATATTACATATGTTTTATTAAGGCTAGTAATTTTATCTTAAAATATTTAAAACTTTTTATATAAAAGATTCTCACAATCACCAAAATCCTATCTGGCCTATTGACTGGTGTAATAATTCAATGTAATCTTGAGTTATCATTCTTTTAGAAAAGAAATATAAATGCCATGAAATTCGAACCTTTATTGCGGTGGACGTGTATTATGATGGTAAGTTTATAATTTAATTTTTTTTTAAACTATCTCTTTTTTTCATTTATTTGTAAATTAGATAAAATAAAATATCCTTATAATGAGCTTTTTGAAACTTCCTTTCCCCCCCCGTGAGTTTGAAGAAGTTTAATGCAAAACAGAAACTTAAACCACAATATGTAGTATAGCCTAAGAAGACATAAAAAAAACTTCAAGTATATGTGGTAAGTTTAGAAATTATAATCTATCTTAAAATCATTCGAGGGGCATCTTCTTAAAATTTAATTTTCCCGGAAATGTATTCCAGCAAGTACTATAAATTCGACAAGCATGAAATTTTGAAAAACTCCTAATTTATATATGAATTTTTCAAATAAATAATAAAAAAAAATGCAAAAAAATTTATGGGCAAAATTCCCTGGAATTGATAGAATAAGTATAGTCAAAATATATTTGTATATGATTTAATAATTATAGATTTTGAACCTTTATGTGGCCTAAGCCCCTATTTTATCTTTTTTTTAAGATTTTAGGTAAAAATATTTTTCTAATTAATCGTGATCATGAATCCTCTTTTAAAATGTTACAATCGGTTCAAATCGCCGTGTTTCGAGACAACTATCTCTATCTAAGTTTCCTATCTCAATGAGAGCATTTTTTGCTCCCCTCTCCCTCTTATATGTTTTTTATATAGTTTTTTATATTTGTCTTGTTTTAAATTGTTTACATGATTTTTTTACATACTATTTTAATATTATTTATACATTATGCTATTTCCTAAATTTAATAAATTTATGTTAAAAAAGAAATTACCAAATTTAAGAACTTTTATTGAGATAATAAATGTGACAACATGTTTTAAAATACTATTTATTATTTAAAAAGAATTAAACTATATTTTAATATACTATACTGACAATTTTGACAACACAACCTATATTTAAAAATATTATTACACAATAATATTTAATTTTTTAAAAAATATATAATTTGATAAAAGGGTTTATATATAAGTCTTAACGGTTTGATAATTTAATTACGAGGTTATGAAATTTTATAAAATTATATTTCTACCAATATAGGTAAATCATTAAAATATAACTATATTATACTATTAATAGTACGATATATTTTTTGTTAAGTTTTTAAAAAAAATTACATGTATGCCAATAATGATTAAATTTTATAATATAAGTATTACTATACAAAAAAAACTATGTAAAAAAAAATTATATTATATAAGATATTTTTATTTGACATGATTTGAAATATGGAAGTTTTGTCATAATTATTTTCTATATTACTTTTAGTTTGATTATGATTTCTTTCATTAATTTTTAAGAAACCTTTAGGCTATGGGCAATAAAAAGAACCTAGGTTTCTTAAGATAGATAAGCATCTTTATCCATCATAAAATAATACTTTGTAAATCATACGTCAAAATTATAATAATATAAAATAATTACATAATTGACAGATTCAAAGGAACACAACTCATCTGACAATATAAATCTTTAGCGACAAACAAAATGAAATATATATTTATTTTTTTCTTATAACATATTTTAATATATATGTATTCTCTAATATCTTAAATCTTTACATTGTTTGATTTTCTTTTAGTAAGAACTAATTTATTGCCTAATAATTAAATTGTTTGTTTGTATTTAAAAGATTTTTACTAATAGTTTTCTTTCTAACCTTTTGTTAACCATGGAAAAAATTGGAAAAGTTTTTTAGTGGAGTTTTAGAAAACCCTAAATTAAATGTGTTATATCTTGAGTAGATCTATAAAGCCTGGCCTACCCATTTCAGCCCGGTAATAATTTTTGTACAAGCCAGCCCGGGTAGTTAAATTTTCTGCCCCGCGCGTTAAAATTTTACAAAAGTCCACCCCGGTTTCTTTAAATTTTGTACGAATTTTCCGGCAATCAAATTTTTAATATCTATATCTAATTTTTCTTATTGTCATTAAGAATATCCCTCCTCTATGGTTATCTATTTCTACAACTACCGTTCAAATCAATTGTGTATTTATAATTGGATCATATTTTTTGAGTATATTATATTCTTTATAGATTTCGCTTTTAGTTCTTTTAGTTAAACAGCTCTTAAAAAAGCAATAAGCATATTTTAATTTATTTTCAAATAGAATAAATCAAAATATTAGCTTGAAATTCAAAAAAAATTCATTAAAATTTTAATGCCCGGGCTAGCCTATTAAAATTATGCGAAAAATACGATATAATTTTTATGTATAAATTGTCCGGCTCGGCGCGAAAATTTTTAATCCGAGAATTTCCCGGTTCTGCCCAACAACATTTTTTCCTCGCCCGATCCTATCCCCTTAATTTTTTTAAAAAATTAGCCCGTTTCAGCCTTGGTTAGGGCAGACAAATATCTAATCTTGATATAAAATTCATTTAAATAAATGTCATTTACTCTAACATACTATAATTAAATTGGTCAAAAATAATAAAATAACATAAAAAAATATAAACATCAAATAAATCATAGATTATATTTTTATATCACATAAATAAAATTTCGAATTATTTTTAGCTCAAAATATTGATTCGAATTGAAATCAGATCCTTTCAAAATCTTCTGGCTTAAAAATCTACAATCCCTGATTGAAAAATATACCAAATTTAGCATGAATATTGTTCAAAATTATTAAGTATTAAAAAAAACACTGATACAAATAATAAGTTTTATTCTTATTGCAATTTTATAGAGTATGGGATTATTTAAAACCCCATCTGATTAACGAATGGCTGATAATCTGTCAAGATCAAACGTTTCTTTAAAAAATAAATTTATAATTCAATTTAAAGATAAATTCTATATAAAATTTTTAGATACTATATATAAATATTAAATTTCAAGGCTTAAACTACGGGTATCATATATATATTATATAAGCGGAATATTCCTTAATTTATATTTTAAAAAAATTTATATCGTATTAAGAGTTTGTTTAAGAATAGTTTGATCTACAGGCTAAATAAATATATTTTTCAACGAATTTTCAGAATCACGGAGAAACATCCTTTAACAAAAAAAACACCGGATAAAAATACCCCAATTTTAGAAATTTGTTTATATAAAGGAGGGGGTCATTTTACCATTTTAAACGTTTATTATTTTTTTTGAAAATTTAGGCATTTTTGTTCTTGAGTATTTTTATGGGTATTTTTGTCTGGATGTTGTCCAGGACATTTCTGTCTGTATTCAAATTTTTCCCCCCTTGTTCATTATCCAATAAATAATCATATTGGTTTTAAACCCATAATTAAATTCGTTCACGATAATGATATTTATAATATAAATAGGGCTAATAAATAATTAAGATTTCTTATTAAGTTAGTCATCATGCATTAAAAATTAAAAAATATACATAAATTCCTGTTAGATTTAATTTTGAATTCATCTCTTATTTGATGAATAGTTTATTCTGTAGTATTAGAAAGCAAATTTTATATAAAAATAAACCTCGGTGGAATATTAATCAATTTGATGAACGGCGTTCCTTTTATTTTTGACGTACTTTAAAGGTGAACGCGTTTTTTATGGAAAACGCGTTCGTTTTTTACGTTGTTCAATTTTAGAAAATCTTATTTTTATTCATTTTAAAATAAAAAATATTAATTTAGTATAAATTCAAATTTTTTAAGAAAAGCTCTTTCCTTTATCACATTTGAAATTTTTAACCAGCTACTATTTCTGTTCTTAGCTTATTAATTTGAATATAGTTATTTATATTTTATAGATTAGCGTAAGCCTAAGGATGGATGTTTCTAAATTCAAAATCGGATGAATTTACATTACCAATATAATAAATACTTTACAATAACATCATATATTCAATAAACTAATTCTATCCTTACCAAATGTTAAATGTGTCCAAAAAGTATAATATCAGTCTCAAAATCTTCAAGTTCTAATTTAAAGAGATACTTGATTGTAATATTTATTTTTTTATATTATATTATAACTATATGTATCCTGTTAATAATTTATTTTAGATTGTTGTATTTCACAGGCTTATTAAATTATTATGATTATTATAATAGATAGTTAAAATCATTAAATATTATATATAATATATACTTAGATATAAAATGCTTAATATCTTTTAAAATTTATATATTTTTAATGTGATTATTTGAAATTACGTTATTTTTAAGTTTTTATCAAGGATTGTTTATTTTAATAGTTAAACTACTAGAGGTCAGCATTAGGGGCAGGTGAGCGGGCAAAAATTTTTTCGAGAACAGCAGGCGGGCGGATTAAAAAAATTTTGAAACAGTGAACAGGTTAAAAAATTTAAACAATGGGTAGGCGGGTTAAAGATATTTAAAATTTTTGATCAAAAGCAAACTAAAAAAATCATAATTATTTAAATAATCAATAACAATATTTCTTTTTTTATTGTACCAATCTAAGTGAAGAACACTTATCTAACTATATTATGTAATAAACAAAACATTTTTGTGTAATAAAATTTCCTTTTATATGTAATAAAGCTTTTCTCTTAAAATAAATAATCATCTTTGGATATTGAAAATTAAAATTTCCTTTTTTGGGTCTGCAATCTGCATTGTATTTTTTTATTTTAGTAATAATTGTTTATCTTTATATTTACTCTTTTCATAATTTTATTTTTTATAACATAATTTTTAATAAAAAAATATTTTTTAATTAAATTTTTATTTTAAAATTATATTATGAATAAAGAATAAAAAATAATTTTTACAAGTTTAAGGATAATGAATTAGACAATAAACCTAAAATCTTCAATGTGGAAATAATTTAAAATTATTTTCGATGAAAATGACAAAAAGCTAGATTGGATTTGCTGCAATGATTGCGAATCTATCTATAAATATAATAACACAAGTGGCACATCCTTCTTCCTTCGGCATCAATGTTCATCTGTAAATTATGAAGATTTGATAGATAATAAAAAAATAACCGGATATTTTCAAAATGACAGATCTCAATTAAACAAAACGATAAAATCGGGTCTAATTGCCAATTTGTAGAGGTGTAATGCTGTAATTTTTTTTTCATATGCAAAAAAAATTGAAATTATGGCCATAATTAAATTTTATAAGCGGGCTTGGGTTAAAAAATTTTTATAAATAATGGTCGGACGGGTGGGCGGATAAGGAATTTTAAACTAATGGGCGGGAGGGGGCATATATTTTTTGAAAACTATGAGCGGTGGGTTAAATTTTTTAAAACAATGGGTGGGCGGACTTTTGATCCTGAAATCCCGCCCAATACACTCTAAGTTAAACACATTAAATTTTATTTGAATATAAGAGTTTATATATTGTTATAATTGGTAACAGTAAAAAAAATTTTTTTAATCACTTAAAACTATTCATTTTAAACTTGGCTAATATATAGTGTTAAAAAAATATGGTATATATTTATATTAAATTAAATATAAAATGAAATGAAACTCGTTCATGAACGTGGAAGCGTTTCTTTTTCTGAAAGTGAATTTGAACATGAAAGCGTTCGTTTTTGTCAATGAACGAACGAGAATGCGTTCGATTTTTTTTAGAAATGTTTACAGCACTAATTTTTTTTAAATGAAAAATATTTAGATATCAAAAACAATCGATTACCTAATGGGACAAGAAAATTCGAATTCATATAACGAAAATCAAGACCCATGGCCGATGGAACACAATTCTATTGTTTTCATAGAAGGTTCTTTTTTTATCGATAATTTAAACTGATTTATGATATAGATATAGATAATTGCATATCCCGAAAACTTTTAATTAAAAAAAACACAAATGCCATTGTCGTACACAGAGGGAGGGGGGGGGGTAGACAAAAAAAATCAGGTGTCGGCTAAAATATTTTTCAAAAATAGTTTTGAATGTTAATTTCTCTTTTATAATAATTATTCCTACCTCTTATCATATATATATTCCAATTTATCATATTCACAGCATAGGCTACTAATTTATTCTATGAATTAATATCTATTTCAAATTTTCCTTATCTTTATATTTATCTAATATTTTAAAATTTCTCTTTAAATCATTTAAAACCTTTTCCCTGCAAAACTGAAGTAAATTTCAAAAAAAATTACATCGATCTGATTGAGACTGTGAGAATAGCTTAAAGTATTATAATGGAACTTAAGGAAATTAGGGCTAATTTAGATGAATTTCATTAAATATATGTGATTGTTGAGTCCATAGCTGAGCTCTATAGATTCAATATTTGCATACCATAACTGGTAGCAAGGCAAGTGAATTATTCTAATGTTAATATAGGGCCAGTCGAAGAATACTATAAAATATATTGCTTTATCGATGTATACTTTTATAACTCAAATGAATGAAAGGTTTTTGATTAATCATGCAACAATAACAAATCTGCAAATTTTATTATGGCAGAATTCTTCCGAATCTATTTCAAAACATGATAGAGAAAAAATAAAATATTGGCAGATTATTATTGTGAGAATGTTTAAGTATCTCATGATACATTATTGCTGAATGCAAACTATGGTATAAAAGGTTAAATATGGCTAATGACAGTGGCGTATCCAGGATTTTCTTATAGGGGGGGGAAAATTTTTTGGGGGCTTCGCCCCCAAACCCCTTTTACCTGGCCTTTGGCCAGCTTTCCCCTGGCCTTCGGCCGGGTCTTATTTAGCTATTCTATTAAATTATTCATAATTTAATTATATTTGTATTTTTAACTATTATTTACTAATTCGTGCTTATGGATAGGATATTACAAGCTTCTTTTTTATTATTTCAAGATAGGTATATTATATTTAATAAAGTTTTTTTAAATGTAAAGTTGAAATAAAGTGTAATGTCATTTTTTTTATAAAATTTGCTTTAAAAACTAGCCTCAGCTTAAATTCTTATACAATATAAGTAGAATATAATTTTTTTATTGAAAATACTAATAGTAGTTTAAAATATTGACTAGAAAATAATTAAATTAACAAGTTTTTTTACCTTCTTATCAAATACAAGATTTTTAATTATTTCGTTTGTCGTTGGAACCAAATCTCTGTGTGTATTTAACAGAGCTAACCCATTTAGCCGAGATTCAGTACTTCGTAAATATGTTTTCAACCCTCTCAAGTTGGAAAAAGTCCTTTCATTCGTACATGTTGTTAGGCAAACATGCAAGAATATAAAATAACTTCGAAATATTAGGAAATTGAGCCAAGGTTTCTTTACACCGATTGAGCGCATCAATAGCATGCTCAGGTAAGATAGCTAAACGTATAAATATTTATACCACAATTAGAATTCACTGATTAAATTTATTTCAGTATCAATCTCATAGGAATAAAATTTTTCTAAATATTTAATTTTACCAATAGTGGCATTAGAAAATGAAGAAGGATCTTTGGGTAATAAAACTTGAAGATTGCTAAAGACTTGTTTATTATCTAAAACCCGTACTTTTATTTGCGATAAAAAAGTATCTAAGAATGGGATGAAAATGGATATTTTATAATATTCTTCAGTTGAGCCAATATTTATTTTCATCTCAATAATGGCCTAGGTGCTAGACGAGGTTTAATTAGTATTATATCATAAAATTTAGCCTTCGATTCAACGTCTACATTCATTCTTATTGTATCTACCTGTTCATGTATATTTTCCGCCAAATCAATAACCTGAACCAAATCTAAATTTGGTTTTTTTAAATTTCTACAAAGTAGTGAGCTATAGGAAAATAATTTATTGATGCAACTAGCAGCAATGATAAACTCTGATTGATCAATTGAATTCAATAATGATATCGCTGCTAACGACACATTACTTTTTTTTCATGCTCAACCTTATTTATAAATTATCGTTTGATTTCAATCTCTTTGACTAAATATTTTTCCATTTTATTAATATTTTTGAATAATATGTTGGAAAATTGATATTCAAATATTTGTAAAATTTTGATTGGTGGGGTGGGGGGGGGGGTCTGGGGGGTAGGGGTAAAAATTTTATTAGCTTAAAATGAAATTTATGAAAATAGTCAAATTTGCGATGGGGGGGGGGGGGAATTTCCCCCTTTCCCCCCATTGGTTACGCGCCTGGCTAATGATATTGTAGAAAATGTTATATACCGTGCAAGGGGCTTGTCGGTTCAGCGGATTTTATTTAAAAGCAGACATGTTTAGAAATTCAAATTTAATTTTGTAATATCATTGTATAATATGTATATTTGAGGCGGAAAATATTTTATACCCCTTATTTAAATTTTTTTATGATAAAATGTGTTTTTTAGGTAAAAGTCAAAATGTTTTTATATCACAATATTAGATGGCATTAAAATATGATGCATAAAATAAGTATTCATTGGCTACTATTACAGTATTATGATGATTTTATTTTATGAAACATGTTGACCAAAATAAAATCCATCCAGATAAAAGTATTTTGCTTGCAAAAATAATTTTAAAAACCCATTTGTAATTTATTAAAAAATTTAAACTTATAAAAAAATTAAAAATATTATACTCTTTTTGTCTTTAAAATTCATTTTTATGGCCGAACTTTTTTTTATAAAATTAATATTTATCTATAAACTGGAAGACTTTTTGAATGAGTTAACAAATACACAATTTCTTTTTGGGTAAAATTCAAGGTCAAATTATGATAATTTTTTAACATATTTTTATTTTAATTTATATTAAATTTACCTTTCTTATATTATAGTTTCGAAAATGACTTGTGAAATCTTTTTTTAATGTATATTTATTTATATAAAAGATCAATATATACATATATATTTATTTTTCTATTTGTATTGCACATAATATAACGAATATATATATTATCTAATAATCTAGTGTAATTATCTATTAAATTAGTCGTACAAAGGAATAGATCGGATTCGCTCTTCGATATACCGTATCATATATGAGTAGAAGGCTGTGAAATCATAATTAATGAAATTAAGCAAAAGGCTACTAATTACCTCGATTATATGGATTCTGTTATTTGGTTTGGGATATATAGATCGTATTGATTTAAAACGCCAAAAAAAATTTCAATTGAATTTAGTTGCGGGGGATAAGGTGGAAGATATACTATATTTTGATAATTTTGAGTTATATATAGGCACGATGAATAGGCTCATAATTATGAGTGAATTCAACAGCAGGTAAGTTTTAAATTTTATTGCTGCAAATGCCCCATCTATAATAGTGTATTTTTTGAGACCATTAATTCCTATGTTACACAAAACCGATATGTTTTTCCCCTTTGAGGGAGAGAGTTGTACGGATGGCATCTTACCCAGAGGTGCCCATTCATAGTGGGAAATGACGTGAAAATTGAAGCCTGTTTCATCTAAATAGAATATATATTGAAATGGCATGTTCATCATTTTAAGGCAATATTCTTTACGAATATTGATCACATCTGGGAAATTCCATCTATAGGGTTATTTTCCATTTTCTGGCTCCATCCCATTGATTTAAAGCATCTAGATATTCCCAAATCCCTCATTTTAAGATTAGGTGGTAAATTTTCCACGATATTTTTTATAGTTAATCCATTATTATGTTCTAGTAGCTGTATAATTTTAGTTTTAGATTCTGAATCATCCTTTTTTTTCCTTCCTCATTGATTGATTATGTAATAGGCCAAGGGGTCATCATAGTATTCGGTGAAGATAATTTTTTTGAATCGGTATACCGAGGCAAAGAATAAATTGAGGTCCTGCGCCATTCTTTTTATACTCACCTGATCATGTAGTTTACTGAGCCATATTTTGGCCATGACTATTTTTTCCTGATTACAATCAATTCTATATGATAATGCAATAGAATTACAAAAATAAAAAAAATATACATTTAAAATTTTACACATTTTCTATAAATATAATAATGTCATATTTTGTCATTTCTATATGAATTATTTTTATGTAAATGAAGTATTTATATCAATAAAACATTGACCATGAGAATAATGGAATAATAATATTAATTGTCCTATGGAAGGCTTAATAAAATAAGTGAATCTACAAGCCCCAGTTTGGGGCTTTTTGGCGCGAAAATTCAATTTTAATAGAATCATTCTTGAGAAAAAAGATAAAATATTTCTAATGTATTAATGTACAAGATTAGGTAAGTATTTGGGCTATTTTGTGGTATTTTGTAAATTCAAATACAACAATATTTATGATGATTTTGTTAAAAATAGCGCTGACTAGCCCTAGTCTCCCCTACTTCTCTTTCAAACATATTTTAGACTATTTACCCGATATATTAAAATTATTATAGATTTTGGCAACTCAACCCATTAGTACTTTTACAAATAAAATTTTCTTCTTCAACTATAAAAATATACCTGTGAATTAGTGTTGTTAAATGGATCGATTTGACCTGATTCAAAAAGGGATGACTCAATATTTTAATATATTACCTTCGCCTCTAGATTTCGATAAAAATTTATATCTTTGTGTTATTTATGAGCATGCATAATATTTTTCTGGATAAAATATTGAGTTAGCCGTTTTTAAACATCGGCTCAAATCGAGCCGTTTAACAAAAATACTGTAAAGTATTGCCCCTGAAAATAAATTAAATTGCTTAGCCCTTCTTAATATACATAATGATACCAAGCACTGATGAAATCATTATATAATTACCTCAATCCCAATGAAAGAGTGCTTCCAAAGTCAAGAAAACTTTCAATAAAAATAAATGAATCTCGTATTTATAATACATTATGGTTTCAAAAGATTTCCTAAATTTCAATAATAAATTATTTTTTTTTAATAAAATTTTGACTTTGGATTTACCCTAAATTTCACATTATAAATATATAATATGCTCTTTAATTATATTTTTTGCAATTTTTTTTATCATTGAATTTCTGAAACTTAAGATATTTTTTAATTACTCCTAGAATAATTCTAAAAAAAAATTAATCATTCCCCCAATATATTTTTAAAAATATATATTTATTAAGATGTACAACTAACGTGCGATAATGATACATTTCACGTCGATGTAAAATTTACAAGTCCATTTTATGGTATAATCTATACTAAGGACTACTTTTTTTCTGGAAGCAAATGTCGCATAGAAGGACAAGGTCTGTCTAACACGCTATTCGATATTTCTTTCAATAACTGTGGATCCAAAAGACGGCAAGATGTATTGGTCATTCCTATATACCATATATAATTAATTAGTCTTCTGGTTAAACATTTATTTATATAATTTGGAATAATATACAATAGAAGCTTTAAAAAAATTACAATATATAGATATACTATATTTTAACTGTACTAAAAATTAGAATTAGAGATGAATAATTATTGAGGGTCTTGTATTGATTGTTATACATTGAAATTGAGATAGTTTAGAGGATGAATTTCAAAGAAATAGTTTTTTTTCCTAAGTAAAATCTACAAAAATTATAAAATTTAATTAAAGATTTGATAGATCTCATTTCTTTTGACTCATTGGTCAAATAATGACATCCTTTTTTTTAACTCTTTGGCAGATTTCGAATGGAAAAAACATTCCAAAATTTAAAAATAAACATTCTTGAAAAAAAATTATCAACTATACATATAACTAAAAAAATTTTTAAGAAATGCATATTAATAAAATATAGACAATATAAATTTTATAAAAAATTACATGAAAAATTGTAAATATATCCTACTTATTTTATTTATTAAGAAAGCTTTTCTTTATTTAGGCAATGTTTCAACAAACGATTTGCAATTTACATTTAAAACGTACAATCTCTTTAATTCGGGCACAACATTTTCGTTTTATTGAGTAGCATACCCTATAATATAAATTAGGCCTATTCAAAAATAAAATCGAATAATTACGAATACGAATAATAAATTATTTGTTTTATCTGAATACAAATAATGATCATTTATTCGATTCGAATAAAACGAATTATTCGAATAAAACGAATTATTCGTAATATTTAATAAATTGTTTAATAAATCTAACATTTGTCATTTCTATTTTGACCTGCCAATCTGACAGGTGATGTGTTTGTGTTTATAAAAATTCTAGCACAAATTTAAAAATTTCTAGTGACACATTTTTTGAATCTCACGAAAAGTTTATTTTTTGAATCTCGTAATAAATTATATTAAAAATTACATAAACCAGAGGTATATAAAAATATATTACATCTCTACAATAATTATTGTTAGCTAGCTTAATTATGTTAGAGGAGGATGTTTCTGATGAAATTATGATTGATGTTAAAGATTATAAAATTTCCTCACAAAAGAGAGCAATCATATGGGATCAATATCAAATCCTTAAAGACGGTGAAAAGGCTGCTTGCAATCATTGCAAGAGTATTATAAAATGTAAAGGCAAAACACTCCTCTTATTAATCATTATAATAGGTTTCATTCACACCTTAGTAAAAAAAATAATAAAATTGACATTTTTTTAAAGTCTAAACCAAATTCTTCAAAAAAAAATTAATTTTAAGGATAATTTATTAAAATTATTGATAAATAATAATATACCTTTTAAAATTATTAATTCAAATGATTTTAAAAATTTTATAAGTGATGATTATTCTGTAAAATCAATATGCTCCAATAGTCTTAAATTGCACATATAATATATTTGCAGAAAAAGAACAGTTGGTAAAGGTAAAATATATAAAAATAAAAGTCATTTTTCATCTGACATTTGGACTAGCAACACAGGTTCTTTTTTAGGGCTAACAGCCCATTTTATTGATGATAATTTTAAAATAAATAACATAATTTTGGATGTCAGTCCAATAAATGAAACATATTCAGGTAAAAATATATTTAAAGCCTTTGTTAAAATAATTAAAAATTATAATTTAGAGAATAAGAATTTTTATATAACTTTAGATAATGCAACTAATAATAAAACATTTATTGATACATTTTCTTTAAAATATCCATTAATAAAAATAGGGCACATTCTATGCTTTGCCCATGTAATTAATTTAATATCCAAAGAAATTTTTAAAATTTTAGATCCTTCAATTCTAAAACTAAGAAACATTATTAGAATGATTCGTATACTCTCGAAAATGGCAAGGGATTATCTATCTATACAAGGAACATCAACTGCTTGTGAAAGGCTTTTCTCAGTTGGAACTAATTTATTGTCAAAAAACCGCATGTCATATAAGGAAGAAAATAAAAGAAAAACTCTTTGCCTTAAAAATTGGCTTAAATTATAAATTAAATTAATAATATACATTTTAATTTTGTTTATAACTTGATTATATATTATATATTATCAGATTATTGATTACATATTATTATAATTTTTTCTGTTTAAAATCATAGTTGTAATAAAAAAATTTGTCAATATATTTGAGAATGATTTATTTTATTAAAAAAATTAATTCGAATTATTCGTAATATTCGAATAATTTCAATCGAATACAAATAGTAGATTTTATTATTCGTACAAATTCAAATAGTAAATTATTCGATTAAAATATTTCGCTTGTAAAATTTAAAAAAAAATGACATATATTTAATTTAGACATTTTTCATTATCACCTATTATTGAAAAATAATTCGAATGGAAATGTTATTATTTTTATCTGTCTTTCATAGTAAACATTTCCATTTCGATCGTATATATTTAACTATTCTATATTTATAATGTGACAGTTTGTGTTTACATTTAGTAATGAATTGTCAAAACTTCGATTTAGAAACTTTTTAAATAGAAATTAAATCAAGATTTTAGTTAAAAAATATTACTTTAAGCCTCAAGATTTCGCATATAAATAGCAGAAAGATGGTCTTCTTTTGATCAAATCTCGAGGCTTAGGTAAAAAAAAATTTAGCTATGATCTTGATTTCACCATATTTTAAAAAACGCTTAAATATAGGCTTCGACAACACTGTCATACACTCTATTAATTATTATTTTCCCAATGTAATTGTAAAACAGCATAAAGGAGTGATATATCATGAGGCCATTATAGTTGTCAAAATTGAAAAATCTTGGCCAATAATTACAACGGAAGACAGAGGTTTTCGATTAAAATGTTGGCCCGTCAAATGGCCCAAACAAACAACGATGCAGAAACAAACCAGCATTGATGTTCCGTAATTAAAATCTATCATTTAATATAAAGATTTTTTTTTAAATATATTTATACTGACAAATTCATTATATTAATATTAACAAAAGAAGAGTTATATAAGATGACAATAATTTTATAATTAGACCTCGGTTTTTTAAAAAAATATATACATATATAATTGTCATTTTTCTTCTATTAAGAATGATCCCGATCAAAACTCAAAAAGGCACAATTAAAAGTATGAAAGTGCCTGATTGTACAATGAAAGTCATCCAAGGATTGGATGTCAAAATCCAACCATCAGAAAAGCTTATCATTGGTCAAACGGGAAGTGTCGTGATAACTTACAATGACGAAGGTTTAATAATATATAATATACATCGATTTCGGCCCATTTTATTTGACAAAATTTTAAAAGACCATTTTTTTGGTCCCATCCTCTGAAATTTATATTTTCATACCATTTTTAAAGATATTGATTTTGTAAAGGATTTTAATCAATTTACCCTCAAATTTGTTAAAAAATTAAATTAAATTTGCTATAAAAATATATAAATTTCGTAAAAATCGGTGGTCATTTTTATTTGGAAGAAGACACTTGTTTTGGTTCAATGTCGTATTGAGATATAGAATCCATGAGAACTCGGAATCTCTTGATTTAAAATCATTTATTAAGGCCGATTTTTATATTTTTAAATCTCTTTGACCAAAAATATATTCCAGCATGTATGGTGTGAATTTTAAACAATTTTTTCATGAACGTTAAGTTTCTATTTATATTGATTCATAGATTTTTCAGATAAATTATAAAATGCAAAAAAGTATGGCAAAAATTGTCTGAAATTAGATGCCCTACAAATGCTCGTTTAAATACATTTCTGGTTAAATGGGATTTTTAAAATAGCCCATCGAAATGATTTATTTAAAGATTCCAAATCCCCATAGATTCCATGGTATATGTACACTGTTTTGTTATTATTGCAATGATAACGCTCTAATGTAACTTAAAATTTTGAATGTTAATGTTAGATATTATATAACATTAGAACTTTAATTATTTTAGGGAAGTTTGACATGTTCTTATCGAATTGTTTGGCACACGATGGAAAAGATATTCACAGCGTGGATTTAATTGATCCCTTTGGGTATTCTATTATAATTATAAAAATATAATAAGTATATATAATAATAAGATGCCCCACTATGCCCAAAATGGTTCATGATGTTCGTTTTGTCAAAAATGGCAATCAAAGCTATTTTTTCTTCCCGTTTAAGGTATTTAAATTTCCAGATACGACAAACGTCTATTTTAAATGCAACATCACAATATGCTTCAAATCTTGTTCGCAAGTATATATATTACATAATTTATATCCATTAATATACAACTTTTTGCTCAAATAAGAAACAATGCGGCAAAGATTTATGGAGATATAAGGAGGAAAGAACACTCAGTCCTAACATTTTTTACAAAAACCGACTGGATGTATTCAATAATCGTGCTTTAAAAAAGAGAGCTATTAGAGAGTTTAGTCTCAACATGTATTCCAATATTACATCAAAAGAACTTAAAGAATTTTTCATCGCGAATCTGCAACTAACTGATGATACTATTGTTGATACAGAATCTGAGGATATAAAAATGAGTATGTTTTTATATTTATTATGCATATCTTTATTAATAATAATAATATTAAAACAATTTGCCATCTCCTCAAACGAATAAATAAAAATATTTCCTAATCACACATACAAAATTAATTTAAAGAAGAGAGTGGGGGATATTAGTGGGATATTTTTAAACTTATGCGCCTTCCCCTTATTCAAACTGGTTTTTAACAATAATTATGATGTAAATAATATACCTTTTAAAAAAATTTATAGAGGTGATATATCCTGAAGATTTTGAAGGAATAAAACATATGAAAGCAAAAGCATATATACCAGATCTATTTAGCGTGAATGGAAATATTAAATACTTATCAAACTCGTCTAATTCTAGACCAAATTTAAAGCATAAAGATTTACTAAATCTACAATTAAACAATAGTCACCTTCAGAGATTTATTACCAATAACAGTTTAGTCAGAAAGTTAATTAAAAATTTGCCTAATATTTATCATCCCTTGATGACCACAATGAATCATTTTAATTTTGATGATAGCAATTGGAATCTTAAAGGTAATAAGCTTGAATCAGTTTTTTGGGTTTCACCAAAGCTATTTCCTTCTCAATCTAGAGCTGATTTTCACCAATGTAAACATATATTTGCCTATGCCATATTAATTCTATTCTTGGCAACATTTTTTTCGCTTTCCGTTGTATGGGCTATCTATCGTATAGTTTTAAAAATTAAGAAAAAATCTTTTGATGAACCATCCCAAGCCCTTTATGACTCCTCATTTAATTCGATATATACTAGTTCTTTACCTTCTATTGATACATCATTAAACAATAATAGTATATTAAAGCAGTTAACGAATAACTTTCACTCACGGGGAAGGCTATGGCAGAGCGTAAATAAAAATTTTAATCATAAAAAAATACCAAACTTTTCAAATTATCATACAAATAATAATATTAATAATTTATACGATACCACTAAAATCTCTGGAAAACAAAAAGACTTAATAAATAATAATGTAAATTCTTCAAAAACGATAAATAATAACATTTCAAATAATCTCGGTATTTTAGAATCTTTAACAAAATTGAATTTAAATCCCCTTTTAACTAATATAAATAATGAAGATGAATTAATGCAAAATAATGCATGTAGCATGAATCATGAAATAGTTTATAATCAGCAAATCAAAGAAATTAATAATATAAACCTATACCCTAAGTTTGATAACACCCATATATCAGATATCAATAAAATTTATCAAACACTTTTGTCTCAGTCTGACAACGCATTTAAAATACAACATGAAGTTTCGCATTTTGAATCCAATTTTCATAAAATATAAAAGAAGTGTGTAATTAAAAAAATATTATAATATATTATGCTTTTTTACAGGAATTCGCGATTAATTTATAAAATGTATTATATAAACTATTTATAAAATAAAATTTAGCATAGTGTAAAATATTTAATAATAATATATATTATAATCGCAAGTATATATTCATATTACAAATCATTCTTGAATAAATTATTTATCATTTAATTTTTTAGATTAGATGTAACAAATGTAAAATATATGACAAATTATTTAACATAATAGTATATTATGTGATTAGATTATTTAATAAAGTTTTAGACAAAGAGATAAAAAGATTCAAGCGCTGTACAAATTATATTCGAAACTCTGCAAAGTCTAACTAGTCAAAAACAGAAAAGTACGAGTCAGAATCTGGAAGAATGGGAACCATTTACCTATTTTTTTAAAGAGGGAAAGGGGGTAGGCATCCAAAAAAAGGTAGGCTCGAGGGTAAAAATAATTAAGATTTGCAAATTATGGGCAAAATAACTGGTTAAAGAATTAATTTATAAATAGATATTAATTTCAAGTTTAAATCATTTATTCATAAGATTTTTAGCATAGTTTGACTATATAACGCTCGGTTCTGATCAGGCATCAGGACCTTGAGGGAGTATCGGCGGCATCTTACCACTTGACAAAGGGATTGATTTGTACACAACCCTTTCCACCATAGAGTAGCTTAATATGGAATGAGCTCTCCTATATGCCATCTCCTTTATATTGTCTAATAATTTACCATAATATCTAGGACCCAGAAAATTTGCTGCATAATGACATTCTTGGCAACAACAATATTTCTTTATTAACAAGCATCTGAACACTTTTTAAATAATTTTCATTTATATCACTTTCGTTAAAAATAGAAGTCAATAAATTTAATTTGTCTTTTACATCCCAAATTTCCTGCATGCAGATAACACAGTTGGGTCTTACTCTACAATTATGAAATAAATAAATTCAAAAAAAGTCAGTACGGTTACTAATATATCGCATTATCTTTTTTTTTTATTAATATAATATCCTTTTTTTTTTGTCTATTTATAAAATGGAAATATTTCTTGTAAAACTCTCTTATTTTTCACAACAGTATGGAATACTATAATGATAATTCCCCTGTCGGATGAATGTTTAAATAAAATTTCTGTCCTTGTCTCTCTTTAAAAGTTGCCGATAATATTCCCTATTTTTAAAAATTAGTCTGGTTTTTATAATGAACTTCATTAAAACGTATTTCTTAATCTTTAATAAGTGTATTCAGGCATATGCGGCATGGACAAAGTATTCAATATAATTATTTTGCCTTAAGAAGTCCAAGCCTTTTTATATTTATTGCATTATCGATTAGTAGTGAGATAAATTTTTTACTACTTCATTATTTTGATCCAGATGCTATATTATCACCAATGTGAGCATTAGACCCTGTGTTTTTGGATTTTGAAAAATGAGGAGTAAATGGTCTTTCATAACCATGAAATGAATGATGAACTCACCAAGAATGTTTGTGTAGCCATCGCTAATATTAGCGAAATCTTTTAAAGTTTCTAATTTGTTATTGATAATATTTGTTATCTTCACATATTCAAAATTTAATAAGGTTTTGCTTATTAATTTCATATAGTCGTGTTTAATTTTGAGTTATCGCATCAACAAAATTTTTTATTTAAAATGTGCTTGATACATTATTAAAATAATTGATATATACTTAATATGGATTTAGAGGTTTTATTTAAGTCTGTTTTAGATATTTTATCAGGAATACATAACTATCCTTATCAGTGTCATCAATCTCATAACAAATATAGATCTAAAGATAGGGAAACTACCTTAATATCCATAAGAAGCACGAATAGAGAGGAATATTAATCGGGTAAGCCAATTGCCAAGCTTCAAAAAAGTTGGATCCTTAATATAAAATCTTATTTAATTAAAAATAGTGTTATATGTAGCGAGCGTCCATTTGTAAGTTTTGCAAAATAATAAAAAATGAAACACGATTAGATGTGAATATTGTTCTGGAAGAAGAATTGGATAGCTTCAAAAAAGTAGGATCCTTACGATTAGATGTGAGATGGGCAGTTGTTTTATCATTTATCATAAACTTTAGATTAAGGAGAACAAACGCGAGATATAGGTACATATAACTTATTCATGAGAAAAGAGAGGTTGAGGTAAGTAGATGCCAACTTTGTCCAAAGTTTGTGCTTGCACCTTATTAATTGTTTTAACAAAAGCAGACAACAAAAAATAACAAGAGCTTAAAAAAGGGGAGGCCAGAATCAATTGAAATTAATCTTATTATAAGAATAAAAACTCTTTTGCTAATAAAACTATCAAAATAAAAATATGCCTAAATTACATTTGGCTTGATAATCAATTTAATCTGATGAAGAGGAAAAAAATATTTGGTAGCCTTTTTAAAAACATTAATTTAAAAGAAGAAATTAAAATTAGTAACAAAAATCTAAATTTAAAAAAAGTAAGTACAAAATATATTAAAAAACATATAATATCAAATATAAATATAGAATCTTGAGAGATCGAAAATTTAATTTTAAAAATGAAAATTTTGAATTTAACAGAAAAATAATATTTTTATTAAAGGGATTATTTTTAAAAGACTAAATTCTCATATCTTTCTTGAATATACAGTGTGAAAAAAAATTTTCGAAATAAAGACTAATAGTATTTTTTTTGACAGATTTATGATCTTACTAAAATGATTAGATGTTTAAATTGTCCCCATATTTTATCCAGTTTAAAATTTTAAAATCACTATATTAATTGATTTTTAAGACTTAATGAATGTAGTCTGAGAATTGAGATCTTATGATAATAAATTAAATAGGGAGAAACAATTATATTACTTTTTCCTATCAGTGCTTTCTATAAGAGTTAAATCCTCTTTTCTATGTCCTTTCTAGACAATATAGTCTTAATAAATTTACAAAATTTAGATGTTCATTTTATAATATTTTTAAAAATTGTCCTCCGCTAAATTAAATTCCCGGCTATGTTCTTCTCAATTAGGAGTCTTACATTTTGGCTATGTTCTTCACAATTAGGAGTCTTACATTTTGAAAAACTTAGTTTAAATATCTTTAAGGAATGCTAATGAATACGAATAAATTTTTCTAATTTGACCCATATTTATGGTTACATTTTTAAATTAATCGTTTAAATGACTTAAAAATATAATAGGCAAAAAATGGAAAATATTTTCTTTTTCTTTTCAACCAAACTTTCCAAATAGGATGTTACCGACTTTTAATAAATTATTTTCTTATTACCCATGTCTTTCATATCACCGACTTTTTATTTAAATGAATATTAGAACATTTTAAAAATTAGTTGTGTAGTTTAACAAAATAGGTTTCTGACTATTAGTTGAATGACGCCATCTTCGAACATTAACTTTAATATTGTAGTCAGATTTGAGCAGCATCGCAAATACTTGTATCTACGATACAAGATCCTTTTATATCTTGGACTTTGTGTTTTTTTGATTTTTGGTAAGATACTAGAATTTTCATCTAAGATCCTTTATTCTGAAGAGAGTGTCTATTTTTTCTTGACAAATATACTGATACAGGTTCTTTTTAATATTCATGTTTAAAAAATTATATATCACAGAATATAACCTTATTTTCTTTGTAGAATCTTGTATTAATTTCCTTATTTTTTTCAGCCATATTTTGAATAATTTGAAAACCAAAATTTGCTGGAAAATTTACATTTCACATTAGGATAGATAAATAAAAAATGATTGTTTAAATAGGGAATTATTTTCTATGCTGATGAATTTAATAAGGCTTTTTTGACCATTATCACATTCATATTTAAAGAACTTATGGATTGAGTCGGATGATAAAAAAATACTTTCAAAATATATTATTAAAAGAAGACCTAAATGTAGTACCAGTAGTATATAATCAAGTTCAAACTATAACGCCAATAGATTTAACATCAAATAAAGAAGACGATGATTTTTCTTTTGGCGAAACAGATGTTGTTGCGTTCATGTTGCGTTATTCCTTTATCTTATTTTTTGTTTTTTGCATTTTAACTTTTATTATTTTTGTTATAATCTAATTTTATTTTATAAACGGCGTAACCTTACTTTTTTATATATTATTTTACTTTTTTGTATTTCGTTTTATATTCTAATTTATATGTTAGAAAATGTATAAATACCTTAACAAAAGAAAAAGAAATTAGTTAATAAAATATATTTTTACTGACTCGAACCTCGCACCATATCGTCACCATCCATATTCTTTGCACGGTGCCCTTTGGGTGGTGGACTAGAAAAAGATGACTACCTAATCTGCTGAGATGACCATCTAATCTATGACGATTGCTTAATCCATTGAGATGACTCTATGACTACCTATTGTGTATCTAATCTATGACGATTGCTTAATCCATTGAGATGACTCTATTTATATGACTACCTATTGTGACGATTGTTTAATCCATTGAGATGACTCTATTTAGACTACCTATTGTGACGATTGTTTAATCCATTGAGATGACTCTATTTATATGACTACCTATTGTGTTGATTGCTTAACCTATGGAGATGACTACCTATTATGACTCTACCTTGTGCTTAACCTATGGAGATGACTACCTATTATGACTACCTTATCTATTGTGATGTTATGACTACCTTATCTATTGTGACTACCTAAACTACTGAGATGACCAAGAATCAAACCTTAGTACGTTCTTTCATGCAAAAAGCTTCTTTCTTTATGGTGTCCCGGCTCTGGATGTTGGACTGGAATATAATAGCCAGCACCTAACCTAATGTGACAACCTAGGAAGAACTGATATGGAAGTTGAACGATAGGTTATGAATTCTATTTTGTGAGACCAATGATGGTTACTTATTATTCTAATCCACGTAAGAAGTATTATAAATTAAAATTTTATGCTAGGATAAAGGCATGTTATAAATTTTTAAAATTACTAAAATGTAAAATCATAATGGATAATATTGATATTTTTTGATTTCTTGAATGATGACCAATTGTTGTAAATTAACATAAACCTAAAGATGAATTCTTAAATATAATTAAAAATATTAAAAATCCTAAACAAAAATGTTAAAATGTAATTTTTAAATCACATGATTGATTCAAATAACCCTTAAGTAATACTTAATATGATAAAAAGTTTTTGAAATTAAAAGCTTTGAAGACAAAAAGTTATGTAAAAAAACATTCATTTTAGAAAAATATATTTAAATTATGTGGTGAATTTTCAAAACTATCTTATGAAGAATTTTTTTTTTGAATTAAAATTAGGGTGTGAAATTTAAAATTTTATTTAAAGAGAGGGAAATGTGAATAATATATTATTTGCATATTTTAACCTGGGACATAGAAAATAAACAAAAATTAATTAAACACTAAAACACGAAAAATTAAACGCTTATAAAATATAAAACGCTAAAAATATAAAACGCATAAAACGCTAAAAGTAAAAACGCTATGATTAACTTAAAAATAATATAATAATTATTATGATTTATCGTTCCTTATTCTGGATTAAAATTTTATTCCTTATTCCATAAATTATCATTCCTTATTATATATTTTATTGTTCCAAAATTCAAAATTTTATTCGTGCATATTATTCATATATTTGATTTGATCAACTATTCCAAATTATATATTCCGATTTATTCCAAATTCCAATATTCGACTGGATTAATTATGAAATTTGAGAAATGTGATACAACTTGATTACCAAAATTATAAACCACTTGAACAACAAACTCTCTATGACTTCTCCGATGAAATTATCAGAAGAGGGAGAATGTTGCGTTATTCCTTTATCTTATTTTTTGTTTTTTGCATTTTAACTTTTATTATTTTTGTTATAATCTAATTTTATTTTATAAACGGCGTAACCTTACTTTTTTATATATTATTTTACTTTTTTGTATTTCGTTTTATATTCTAATTTATATGTTAGAAAATGTATAAATACCTTAACAAAAGAAAAAGAAATTAGTTAATAAAATATATTTTTACTGACTCGAACCTCGCGCAACATCGTCTCCATCCTTATTCTTTGCAGTTCAATAATATAGATAACATTGAGCTGGAAGTTTTAAATTATAATAAAGACTGTTGAATACATTGGAACTGCTTAATTATTATTCTACCATTAGCAATTTATTTTAAGATATAACACTGTAATACCCACATCAGCTCCAGTTGAGGAATTATTCAGTTTTGGCATAATGTTAAATACCCTGAAATGGCAAAATATATAAAATTGATTATCTTAAAAAATAATAATTTGATTTAATCTACTTTAAATACTCTTTTACAAATTAATATTTTAACTTCCACTAAAACTTGTTTCCCTGTCTATGCTATGATGAGCTAAAACAAATATTAAAAGACTTGATTATTACATTTATCTCGTCAATAAATATTTTATTAATTATTGTAAATATTTATTCTGATATGCGTATGCTATGTTCTTCGCCAATAAATAATAAAAATTGTATTTTATAAATATTCTTATTTAATTGGTAATGATAATTTTATAAAAAGTACCTTGTTTTAAGATGCTCTCATTTAACAAAAGATACAAGTATATTTAATCTTGTATCTTTTTGATATTTTGAATAAGATACTAGTATTTGTATCTAAGATCTATTTCTTTACAAACAATCTGTATCCATATCTAGATTCTTTTTCCGAAGGACCTGCCCAATTCTGATAGTAGTTAATAATTATATCAGCTGTTTTGGCTATTTAAAACACTCGTGCTTATAAACATATGTTTTTAATTAATATAAAGGTAAAATTATGATGATAAGAGATTTATAAATTACCTTGATTTCCTAAAAGCCGGATTAAAATTTTGCCAATAATTATAAACAATAATAAATTAAAACTTCTTAAGATTCTCAAACTTAGTATCCCATACATTGAACAATTCAACAAATTAAGGTATAAGTTTTATTTTTTTTGTAAACAATATTATTTAGTATATTTTTCATAAAAATTTCAACCAGAAATAGGCTATCTTTATATGAATAGAATTTCCACAATAACTTAATTTCATTTTTTAAAGATTGCATTCAAAAGAAATCTTAATTAATATTAAACTCAATTTTTGAAAGTATAACTTTTTATAGGGGGTTTATAAGAGTTAATTATAGCCAAAATTTAAATAAAATATTTGATTGTTTAGATCCATTTGTTTTGTCAATTTTTATCACTTAGAAATTTTTTTATGACATTTAAATAGTTATTTTTGGTTAAAAATATTTAAGAAATTGATCAATATCATATAATTAGACCATAAGTATTTCTATATTTTTAATTTATTTGAAAATTCTACATATAAATTAAGATTAGTTCAGTTTATGGCATATTTGTTTGAATTTTACAGATCAAAATTGGCCACCAAGTTTTGTTTCTGATGAAGTGAATTATAAAATAAGATATTTAACCATAATTTCTGTCAATGAATTAGCTCTTAACTCATAGTTTGGGGACCAAGTTCCTCTAAAAATATTTTGCTACTCCACAACAGAAGATTTGTCATTTTTGGTGAATTATACCTTAAAAATTAATTATGGATGATAATCCCCCCTCCAAAAAAAATCCATTAAATTTAAAAAAAAAATCAAAAATAATCCCCCCCCCCCATTCTCAGAAAGAAATGAGTGTTTGTTTTTTAGGTAATTGTTTTCCACTTACCTTAAAAATAATTGTGCTTATAGTTAATCATTTGTGCCATTTTACAAATTATTTTGGATAACCAGTTTAAAATATGAATTTGGTATTAGTACATGAAAAAAAAAGATAACAGAAAATGATGATCAAACTATGCACTTTTTGAAATTTTTTGTCTACGACCAGTTCATAGAGTATAATAATATATATTTTAAACATAATTAATTGCCCCTTACCCCCTTCATTCACATAGTATTATAAGGAGAAAATAAATTTTAATAACTTAAAAATTACATTTTTCATTAATAAATTCTTTATTATATTTAATTTCTCATAATTATTTTTTTGAATAATTATAATTTTCACTTATTCGATCATTTTAGTTCTTCGAACTTTCAAAATACTTAAAAAAGGTTCATTTTTAAAAAATATTTTATTGTGTATTATATTTTCATCGATTTTTTAACTTTAAAAATGAAGGACAAAACCGCTATATACAAGAAAAAACATATAAGGTCGTTTTGGCTTTGGGTTTAAAATTAATTGCTAATTTTTAAAAAACATCTTTTAGATTGGGAACAAGCAACAACTGATTAAGAATTAAACTTCGCTTATATTTGAAAATTCTTTATGGGATCCACTTTTAATTGCTTAGAAAAAATTAAACATCTATTTTTTATTTAGAAATAATGACCATACAAAATAATTTAGGCTGACTCTTAAAAATAAGCTCTTATATTTGACACTAAACCTGCAAAGGTCCCGGATTTTGAATAATTTAAAAATATGAGAAGCGAACTATCATGTGTTTTCCAACTATTAAATTTAAAAAAATCATTCTAGTAGTTATTTAAGAATATTTTAAGTTTCAATAATTTGTTAAAGATGACTATATAATATTGACAATTTCTAATACAAATATAAATATAAATTAAAGAGAAAATATTAAATATATATGTTAGCGTTAATGTGTTTTTTTCCGGCAATGTGTTATTTTTCTAGTTTTAAATTATTTTTCAGCGCGTTTATTAAATTTAAAAATCTAATTTTACCAGAAATGTATTCCATCATGTTTAGAATACCTACCCTATGAATTTCAGACAATTTTGCCATGAACTTAATATTAGTCTTTTTCCACAAATTTTTAAAAAAATGATAAATGACTTAAAGGTTAACGGCAAAATAGTGTACAACTTATAAGATAGGTAATCTTGACAAGCTGAAATACATTTCTGGGGAAATCAGATTTTTAAATTTAAATAAACTTGCTCAAAAAAGGATTTGAAGTTGAAAAAATAACACCGTTAACATATATAAACTGCTTATGAAACATGATGTCTCGAAAAGGAACTTTGCATAAAAATATAAAAGTTTTAAGCATTTAAAATTTGATATATAAATTTAAATTATATTTTAAAAAATTTTGAAAATATAGATTAAAATGCACATAATATTAATAATTAAAATTTATTCATTAAAAAAATATGGTGTAAATGAAGAGAAATATAATTAGGAAGCATATTATATTTATAATCTGAAACCCCATCTTCTTTGGGATTGAGTCCATTATTTTTAGGGATTTTATTAGTGCTTGGTGTCAACTCCCTATATATATTAAAAAGTCCTAACCCATTCAATCTATTTTCAGCGGTGGTAGTGTTGTTAAATGGTTCGATTTGAGCCGATTTTAAAAAATGGCAAATTCGATATTTTATCCAGAAAAATATTACGCAACCCTTAAAATTTTGCTCATAGATGGCACAAAGGTTTGGACTTCGCGAAATCTCAATGCTTAGGCAATATTTTTCTGGCTAAACATTTGCCCTGATTTCCTGAACTTCCAATATAATGATTTAGCTATTCTTCAGTAAAAAAATTTCAAATGATTTGGTGGGAAATTTTAAAACTATAGTTAAATATAACGCTAAAGAAAATTTCAAATAGATATTAATTCATAGAATAAATTAGTAGCGTATTTATTTCTGCTGTGAACAAAATTGGGATATATATGTAATAAGATGTGGGAATTAGCAAAATTTTTGAAAAATATTAAAGCCGGCATCTGGATTTTTTGGCTTAAAAGAGGGGAGGGGGGGGGAGGACTCGCTGCTTAGGCCAAGTCCAGGTATATTTGTATCTTTATTTTAATCGGGATTTTAAATATAGTAACCAATTTTTTTTATTTTACCAATTTTTAATTCTTAGTTTTCCTCGGATATAACCACTTTTCTTCTTTATTTTTTTTCTCGAGTAACTGGCCTATCGATAAAATAAACGCATTCATTCATAACTTTATTTAATTACATTAAAAGATTTTGATATCGCTTTTTACTATTACTAATAATATATATACATTTATGTTTTACAAATGCGACTCTACACTAAATACAGATAGATTGATAGAGAAAAAAAGTAATTTATTTAATTGTATTATATTAACAACTTATTTTTTATGCGGTGTATTATGACTAATTTTTAGTTTTTTTTTAAAGTGACAATTTTCTAATTAAAAAAAAATCAATATTAAATTATATGAATAGTTATATATTTTAGTAACAATTATTATACTACTAATTATTTATTCATTCCACCAGTGACTTTTAAGCCAAAAAATAAATTATGCATATCTATTTTCTTTTTAAAAAAATATATAATCTAATTTTATCCTATTTTTTAAATTTATTGAAGAATTATATAAAGTGTAATAATGAATGTTTTTTAGGTAAACAAAAGTATGATTTGGCGACCTTCGAAATTTCGTATTTGTTCTTTTTTGTTAATCAATAAAAAACAGAGTTGATATATTATTAATTATTGTTTTACTCCTTAATTTTTCTGTATTCAAACAATTTCTTATGTCTAGGTATTAATGTTGATTGGAGAGTCATAATAAATATTATATAATTTAGGTTATAATGTAATATGAAGCCCTACCTCATGCAGAGTCATGAAGACTTTTGGCGGCCCGGGACTTATAATCAATTCGGCGCCACCCCTTTAATCAATTTACGCCACAGAAAAGGAAATCAACTACAACAATTTTTTATATCGCATCGTGATAGTATTTTAAGGTTGGTACTTATCGATAAAAATATTAAATTAAAATTAGCAAAAAAAGAAATTCAAATTTAAAAAAAGAGAAAATTTAAGTAGCAGAAATTAAAATAATCGCACATGAACCAAAATTTGGCGGCTCAAAATAGTCCAATTTTGGCCACACCGAACGTTGTCCAGCTGGCTACTCAGTTTGCACTGGTCTGTGATCGAATCTGATTTTTTTGAAAGTTATCGTCGGCTGAGTATAATAGAGTTCTATATCCACTATTTTGCAAAATTTTATTTGCATTGTGATAGCGTATCTAAAATACAAGAAATACTTTTTTTAAAAATATTCTTCTGAATAATTTTCAATTTTTTTCTTCTTGAGCTATATCATTTCTCCCTTTCTAGTGACTTTTTATTTCTTATTGAATATATTTTAAATTAGTGCTATGTTTTAAATGATTTTAAGGTGAGTGCTAAAACGTTGATCGATTTGTAAATAGTCTTAACAGCATCCACTATTTGATTGGTTAAAAAATTCTAAAATTCGGTTTTAAAAAAAGACAGTAAATATACATGTTTTAGATATAACCTAAAACTGCAGCGGCTTCTACACCCTTATGTCACTGAAGATTTTAACGAAAAAGTTAACTACCCTCCCCCCTTTCCTTATACTTCGAAATTAGTTTTTAGTTAATAACTGAAATACCCACTACCACCGGAAGTTTTATGCACCAAATAATTATTACTAATACAATATAATGTAGTATAATATTAATTTCAGAAATGCGTCAAAACTTGTTTTCGACACCAGTCACCAATTCCCAAGAATAATTTATTACCAATAAATAAGAAAAATCTTAACTTAGAGTAAAGCTATGGATTTATAACAAAGAAATATTATCCACAAATTTCTAAACCGATAGGAAAAATCTGCCGTTTTATTTTTAATTTAATTTGCTTTTTATAAATTTCAAAAAATTAATTATAAATGATTAAAAAAAGGAAGAAGAAGAAAATATTGATTTAGGAAATTGCTTTTTTTTCCTATTATACTAAATAATAATAAAAGAAATGATATCTGTATCTGCTAAAAGAAAAGTGATATGAATCTAATCCATTTATTAACAAGGCAATAAATGAATATATTTTAATGTATGTGTCCTGGGTTTAGAACATTAGGGCTAAGCTTCATAGACCAGGGTTTTTAGTAAATCTTTAAAACATATAGTGTCCGTTTTTTTATACTTTTAAAATTTGTTAGAATTGTATTACCACGGTATAGTACCTACTCCTTTAATTTTAAATAATTTTGCGATTTTTTGTGTATTATTTTAAAAATTTATATTGAACGTATAAAGTTTAAAATTCAAAAGATCATTAAGATATTATGATGTTTCTAATATATTATTTTGTAGAGTATAAGAGCCGCCTTATCCTCTAAAATTTTATGAAATCATATTGAGAGGGATTCATCAAAATGTCATTCAAAATCAATAATAAAATAAAAGCACAATGCAACTTTTTTTAAAAAAATGAAGCTCTTTTATCCTCCTCCAATTGTATACTCTATTTTAAATATGAATAATTAGTCGTAATCTTTTAAATGTATTTAATTTTTTAAATTCCACGTATATGCCAGATCCGACTTAATAAATATGCATGTAATATATTGATGCATAGCTATTGTAGACCTTTTTTAAACACATAGGTTGGCCTAATGCAATTTCATAGTGACCTTATCAATATTTATTAAATTCAAATAGGCACAATGTTTTTGATATAAAAAGTCAGTTTATGGGTTTAAAGAAGAACACTATGTAACTAAAAAAAGATATGATATAATAATCATATATCTCAAATTATCGTCAGACTTATTTATTTAATAATAAATTATAGAATCTTAATTATCTGGCATGTTAGAATTCCATGCTTTATTATAACCTTAAGGTGTTCTCACTACGAATAAATGTTAATATATAATTTTACATAAATTGTAAATGGGGAATAATTTGATGTATACTTCTTTTTATCAATCATTCTGTTAGAGAAGGTCAAAAGATTTTTGTCCTGATGAGACGAACGCATATCAATTCCATTCAAGATATTGCGTTCTTTTAAACGCGTTTCATCGAAATTATAACATCCGACATCGAATTTGTTTTTCGAAAAAACAAGACGTCGAGGAAATATTTATAAGTCCAACATCTTTGGATAATAATTAATTCAATCTGACCATTTTATCCAATTGATGACGATATAAGCGGAAAAATAAGCAATCACGTATATTTTGGCCAGAATCGTCAGATTTACATTCCACAGGCGCCCTTGAAATGTAGAGGTATCGTTGGAGCCAATTAGTAGTCTCTAATGGATAATTCACTTCTGCAATGAGGGGCAAAAAACTGGATATTAGGCCTCATTATCTTAGGAGGGTTTAGGGAACTTTGATAACAATGTATAATAATTTTCGAAAATATTAGCATTTTAAAATGAAAAAAAAGAACCATCCCCTCATGCCAATCTCAGACAGAGATTTGTAATTTATTAGTCTTTGCCTAATTATAAAAAAAATAAAAATTTCTTCCTATATAAAATTATTGATTTGTATTAAATTTTGTAACCTAAATAAGTAAAAATAAAAAAACAAGTTTAATTTTACTCTATATAAATATCAAATAAAAAAAATTACCTTACATGTATAGATCTAAATAAATTGCTCTGAATTTAATTTTAAAAAAATATAGAAATATTATACAACCCATAGAAACGGAACCCGGCTCTGGCCATAAATTCTTGTTTTAAAAATTTGGGCATTTTTTAAAAATAAAGTAAAAATGAATCAATTAATTAGTTGGGAACATTTATTGCTCATATTTTCTACTTTACTTAAAAACAATTTACAAAAAATTATTTAAAATAAAGAAAATAAAAAAAATCTAGGTAAGATTGATTTTTTTTAAAAAAAATACCGAAGTTTAATATTTATGCATAGGATCCTAGACTTAAATGTATTTATTTATTTATTATCGATCAATATTATATTCCTCAAAATTTTTGTCAAACTTACATTCATTTGAAAATCTTAAATAGTATGTTCTGAAATTTACTTTGGACATAAGTTACATCTTTCATCAAACTACAATTTTGAATAATTTTTTACTTGCACATATCAAATTATATTAGAATTTCCTCTAATTTTTTTTAAAAAAAAACTAGTCATGACAGTCAAATTTGTGCCAATAAAAGTGTCATTGCCCATATTAGTCACATCAGGGATCATTATACTCCTAAGCCTGGTACTTTGTTGCTATTTAAAGAGGTTACAAATTATTTTATCTTAATATCATTAAATAGAATTTTTTTGGTTTCTTATTTAGGCCTAATGTTGTCTAGGTTTTTCGTCTTAAAATTTATTTAAGTCTAAAAAATTCTTTGTCATTTGTTTGATTTCTAACAAAACCATATATGGGACAGCTTTATACTTTAAAAAAGAAGTAATATGGCGTCTAAAATAGATTTTATATAGGACTATTTATTGACGGCTTATAGTGTACTAATAATAATCCTATATATATTTATTTAATTTTTTGCACAAATATTAACATGGTCTTTTACTATCATTGACCTTTCTATTGGTATATTATTTAGATAGTAATTTTATATTTATCTTTTTAGACCAAAATTTTAAAATAATCTTGGAAACCTTCTAAACTGACTATATTTTAATTTTTATTATATACTCCTTTTTTTAAAATACAAATTTTAGTCTCCAAAAAAAGATTCGGGTTGAACAGGGTTACAAAATATCGTCTTATAAGCCCAGAAAATCAGCATCTTGCGAAGCCTGTGCCATATGTCTCGACGATTTCCAACCTATGGAAAAAATCGTTGTTTCTAGATGTCAACATTCTTTCCATAACAAGTAGTATAATACAATATGTATATTTATTATTTTTTAAATTAGTTTTGAAAAGATATTTTTTAAGGAAAAAAAGAGAGGTATTGTGAAATGGTGAAATGGTGAAAATATCATTTATTGATTTTCTTTTCGCATGCTTATATAGTGAAGGCGACGACTTATAAAAATTTATATGGTGGCTCTAAGTTTTCTAAGCTTCGCTGTCCCCATAAATTGACTCAGCTTGAAACCTAGACTAAAAAGGGGCACCAGTTTATTTTTAAAAAACTATTCTGACTTGTAAATTTTATAAAAAATCTTCAGTTCTTAGATTTGATTAAAGGTTTGGTTCCCATATTCTGGTTTTCTTATGGGCAAACATTAGCATTTTATTTTCCTTACAATGTTTTTATCCTGCCCTTCAGTTTTCTTTTTAATTAATTATGGCGGTTCCAACACTTATTTATATATCGTGTTTTCGCAATGATTTGCATTATATAATAAATCTGAAGATTAAAATTTTAAAGAAATTGAGTTAGCTCATTTCTGTAGATGTATTTTATAAAATCAATGAAGAGTAAATTACAAAAAATAGTTTATGCTAAAAACTGGGCTGCCCAGCCCATAACTAATTATTATTATTAATTTAAAATTAGAAGAGATATTCAAGTTTTAACCTTGCAAATAATTTTTGTAGTTGAATAAAAATTCAGATTAATCACTTTATTATAACGAGTTTTTCGAGTTTCCAATCGATAACAAAAAAGGCATATTTATTAGGTATACACACCCAGGATTATTTTTAGAATTCATAATGTATTTACTCATTTTATTTTCACGTTTATTTTAAGAGGGGGGTCTTTTAATAAATTCCCATTTTTATAATAAAGATATTGATTCTTTTTTAAAAAAAATAATAAGATAATCTTTTGATTATAGGTATCAAACCTGTTTTTTTTTGTTACTTCGAACTAATCGATAAAAATGATTGCTTTAAAAAGGATGTACTATAAGAATAATTGTCGAGAATCTTTTTAATCCCTATTAATTTTTTTTACTTATAAAAACACGGCATAGGTGAGATTGTGCGAAGAATTGGAAAAAAAAGTTATTACTTAAAAAATTAACAGTATGATTAAATTTTTATACAAAAGTTGACTAATTATTAAAATTTCATTTCCTATTATCGATAAAGTGCTAGAGCAAGTTTAACAATCTTAATATTGTAATGGTAATATAATATTAAAAAGAAATACGAAACGAGAAGAAAATAAATTATATATAATTTATACCGTTCCCCATATGGAACAGACACCATATCGGCGCAAAGGGGAGTGTAAGAATTTATTTTTTTCGGTATGCCTCTACCATGCATCTAAGGTGTTTTATATTTTATTAGTACTGTGAACTTTACTTCAAGTATATTTGTTATTCAAAAAAAGCAACACGTTACTCATTATTTTTTGAAACAAGTAACGATTGGCCTTCCATTTCTTTAAAAATGTAACGCCCTTAGTAACGAGGTTACTTTTATGGACGTTACTTTACAGCACTTAATATTATTAATTATGATGAGATTTATGTTGTTTTATATTTCTAATAATCGATAGACAACTTTTTTTTTAATTTATATAAATTAATATTTGAACCCGAATGTGAATTTTTTTTATACTATTTTTTTTAATAAAGTGGTTTTTTACATAGTTGTCTTTTTCATTTCACAAATTTTTGTATTTTTCGTTAAAAGGATTCCCTCTAATAAATATAGGCTAGACTTATTTATAATAGAAGAGCTTTTGTTAGTAGTTTGTTTAAATAGATGTAGAGAGCTCAACGCCACTGAAAATAAATTTGAGCCTTTATGAAATAAAAGAGAATTACCTATTTTTGCTATGTAAATTATTTAAAAAATTAGCTTCTTCAAGTTAAAAATAAAAACTAGCAACACCATTGATTTTAAAAAAAATATGAATATACAATGAATATAGAATAAGGTGGTCTGCTTAAAGGGAGAGTGACCTAGGAGGTGGTATAAATTTAAAATTATTTTAATTGATTTTCTTAGGTGGTATAAATTTAAAATTGATTTTCTTTTTATAGCCTTATTTATAAAAAGTTTTGATAACCTAAAAAATCTTTGTATATATATATAAGAAAGAAAAAAATATATTAGAGATCTACAAATACCGGCCCGAGCCCGACTGGGTCTCTTTTTAAAAAATAATTTGGGTTTGGGCTGAATCGGGCCTAATATTTTTTTAAAAAATTTCGTGCCGGACTTAAATTTTTAAATATGATATCATTACAGTTTGTCAAATAAATTGATATATTTTAAAATTCTTGCAATAAACAAGGTGCTAATATTTTTTATTTGCAGAATATTTTTTTACAATAAAAAAAAATATTAAATTTTTCTATATTTAAATAAATTCCGGCTGGCTGACAAATAATTTTTATTTCGGGTCGGACTTTTCGGGCAAATAAAAAAATTCATTGGGCCGGGCAGGACAATTTTTTTATAAGATTTCGAGCGGGGCCAGGCTTGAAAAATAAGCCCGGTGCAGATTACTAATATATATTATGGAGTTGAAGTTTTTTAAAATAAATTATTGAATCTTTTTTGTTAGGTATTCACTCCATATATTAATGGTCACCTCTTCAAGATGGTATCCTTTAAAGGCCTTATAATAATGTATAATCTAATTATTTATTTTCTTTTTGAAAACAAACGCCTAAAAAGATGCCTGGAGAGATGGCTTGAAGTCAAAAATTCTTGCCCTATATGCTTAGCCCCCATCAAAAAGATAACGACCCAGGATGATGCTACGCTTACTCCTAATTGTTCTGTCATCGTTATTACATCCTCAAATACTGCAACATTAGACCACGTGATCAATAATCATATTCATCCTATCAACACTTGTCAAATGAATAATAATATGACTTGTTCAAATGGCAGGAACTTGAGTCCTGTCACCATTACTTCAATTCTCTTCAACTCGAACGAATCAAAGAGTTGTCAGACGAATGATAATGTTATCAACATTATGGACAGTGCCAATGTTACGAGCAACGGAAGCGGAAGAAATTTGGCCAACGATTTACCTCTCCCCAATGTTAATAATATACAAATTTTCACTCCTTCTCAATATCCTCAGCAGGCAAGCAAAATCATTAATAACAGTTTTTCTCCTTCATCATCTAATATTAAATCTGCCAACATAGTCTATCACGTGTCTACGTCTAATGATTTAGCTATAAGCCCCGAAAAACTTGTCTCAAAGAGCCAAAACGTCATGTCATTCAATCTCAACGATAAACATTTATTGTACCCAGTGTTAACCGATCGACAAGCATCATCTGACGTTTTGGGGATTCGTGATAACAAATACAAAGGTTTTTATTTTTCGTCCTCGACTAAAAATAACAATTCCACGACCAAGTACCAAAAACACGACAAAGGTGTATTACTCATGCACAATGAAGATTTTTTAGAAGCAAAAAATGAAAATTCGATCCCAAAAAACGGCAATGATTTTTTTCGTATTTCTTCTCAGCCCAATTTTATGGATGTTTATCAATACTCCGAAGTGGCCCAATCCTCGTCCTCGCCTTTCTCCGTATCATCCTATGATTTTACTCAAAAATTACCCGAAATATAAATTTGCAAACTTGAGATTTCCTTTAATATTTCCTATTTTTTATCCTAGTCCTTAGATTTTTTTTGCACTTAACTGGATCTGCTCAGTTTCCCATTATATATATTTTTAATTTGAAAATAAGAATATCCAAAACCACAAACCTCTCCCTTCATTCTCCCTCCTACCCAAATTCAAGTTTACAAGTTGATCTCATTTCTCATAACTAATTAAGAGGTAATAAAACAAAACAATTAACTAAAATGAAAACTAAAACTACTAATAATTTTTTTTATATATTAACATTTTATTTATAATCAAAAATTAACAAAGTGGTATGCTCAATTTAAAAAAACGAATATCCCATTTTTCACCGTTTTCTGATGAATAAGACAATTATATTTATAAACGCTAAAGGAATATGACTAATTGAATTATTAAATTTTGTTTGTATTTAACAATTGAACGATGAGTTGTTAAATTTATAATATATGTACTTACTATACTATACAATACATTATTTATATGCTATCATAAATTATAAAATCAATATATTCAGTATTATAACGTTACAACTTACAATAAAACAAAACATCATTACAGTGACCACCTTAGCTCTGCCATGATTGCAATTACAGGGTATTTCATTGGAGGAACCTCGCCGATTTACCAAATTCTGTAAATGAGATCCAATAAAAATGCTCACTTTATTGAGATAGATGCTAAATAGTTACTGTTGATGATTTTATTGTGAATTATCTCGTTTACTCGTTATTTATGTTTGTAGTCTTTTTTTTTAATTAATATTATTATTATGCTTAATTTAAACATTATAAAGCGTTTGTCATTATTTAAAGGTTGTATAATCGTGTTTAATGTTTACTGTAATAAATAATCAATAATAAAATATTTTTTAAAAATAGATATTCATCGGTAATTGTGTTGTGTTGTACCTTTTTAAAATAGATTAATTTGAACTGCAATATCAACGATAAGTATAAAAAATAAATTATTGTATATATTGTAATAAGAAGCCTGGACTGGCCGCTGGCCGATATCTTTTTTGAAAAATAGATTTGAACAAAAATGACATAAGAATAAAAAAAATTATAGATTAAAGATAGGGTTGTGAAAAGCCCGATTCTAAGTCTGGAGATTTTGCTCCTATGGTAGAAGAGTTTGGACATCTATTTGCCAAATCCTGAGGCTTACATAATATTATTTTCTGAAATTTTAATTGGGCTTTTCAACAATCCTAATTATAGAGCTATAGAGATAAAAAGGAAATTTTTTATAAAAAAATAAAACAATTTTTTTTGAATGGGAATTTTCCTGGGTAATGATTAGTGAATGTCAAATTTCCAGTCATATCGATCTTAGACCCGGACCGATTGACGAAGTCTTTTTTGAGGACCGCGTCTGGATCTATCATTTAATTTTTCCCTATCTTGATCGTGGTCTGAAACAGTCTTTTATTAATATTTAAATTTGCCTTACTATTCAATTCGTATAATATTTTACCAAATTGTGGTGTATATATTTGTTTTATGTGAAATATATCTTTTCTAGAAATGTAATTTTTATGATTACTTCTCTTTTTTAGTTGATTTTTATTTTGTAGTATATTACGAAAACGAAAAGTTTGTCAAATAAGCATTTAACTTATAGTCTCAATAAAAAAACAGTGTTTACTGCTGAAAAACCAAATTTAATGTATCGTTGACAATAAGTAACTTAAAACATTAATTTTATTCTAAATATAAATTATTGGGTACTTTAAGCAGACATCTGATAAAACATCAAATTCTATCTATGATGAAATTTAAATAAAAATATCTTTAAAATCCGATCTATGCCACCCACGAACACAATCACTTTTTTTCAACGCCATTACTAGATATTATACTGAATATATGAATCAAATAGTATTATAATGAACAAAATAGAATAGATCTACAACCTCCATTAAGCTCTACTTCTAATTTCTTCCAGTATAGCTCTGCAAACAAGAAGACAGATAATTTATTTTTGGCGATCATTATTAGTTCGTGAATTCTTAAGCAGAATATTATATATTCAAATACTTTTATTAGTCATACAATATATATCTTAAAACTTCCCCTTAAATAATTTAAATAATTTTTCGATAAGTTTTTTTGGTATCTTGCGATTTCTTGAAGAAAATCAAACTACTTGGAAATTCTAATTCTGCATTACTACTTGAATAATTAGTTTCCTTCTCCTCTACAAGCTTCTCTCCCTCTTTTTTATCAAGTTGCGATTCCCACTCATTCCCGCTACTGATCAGCCTATCCACAGAATCAATAATATAATCGAAAAATCGATTGCATAACTGTCATTCCCGGACCTCGATAAATATAAGATAATTAGTCAGAGTATTTTCGGAATAACTATCCTACCACTTCACTCAACGATATTTCAATCCACTGCTAATTTATTCTGGTGATAAAAATAAATGGAGAATTAGAATTTCCAAGTATCGTGTGATGGTCTTCGCTACCAAAAAGACTTATCGAAATGATTTAAATTAATTATGGGGAAATTAATTAAAAGTATATTATTATTTTAGAATATACATTCTATTTTATTATTATGTTTAAATTGATAGTTTTAAAACAGTAACGTCATTAGGGTGCATGCAGGGGCTCGAGCCCCCTCAAAAATATGAATAGCCCCCTGAAAGAAATTCTTTAATGGCCCCCTAATATCCTACTGAACGAAATAAAAAAATTTGAGAGTCCCCTGAACAATTTTTTAAAATTCATTTATGTATTACATATAAAAAATTAATGACTATAAATTTTTATTAAAAGTGCTATTTTAATTATTAGATTAATATTATAAATTTTATTTTAATTATGCTAACCATTGCAATCAAATTCTGAGTTAAAAATGTAATATTAATATCACTTATAGTTATAATAATTTTATATTATTATTATATTCAGGCGCGTACGCAGGAATTTGGTCTGGGTGGGGGGGGGGGGGGGGTGGGATAATATAATTTTTTTAAAATATTAAGTATAAATTTATTAGGAGTAATAACTTTTCTAATACACAATTTTAAATAAATGTGAATTATAAAAAAAATTATATATATAAACCAGCATTGAAAAACTATAAAATAAATGTGAATTATAAAATATAAAGTGAATATAACCACGATATGAATCACTTAAATGACCCAAAATTTAAATTTAAATTTTTTGAGCCTTTAAAATTTATATATAAAGTATAAAATTAAATGTTGGAAATATAAATAAATACACAAAAAGTTTCTTAGGAATAATTGTAATTTGTATGTTTTGAGCTAATTTTTCAATTATCTATCCTTGCTTGGCGTTAAATGTCTATGAATATTCAAAAGATCCAAATTATTCAATCTACTTTCAGAAGTTGCATTTCATAGGTATGTTTTTCAGAGACTTGCAGGCCCGGCCCCCGGGCCGGACCGTATTATAATTTTTTTAAACATACCCGAGCTGGGTCCGAAATATTTTTTATAAAACACCCGGGCTGGGCCTAAAAATTTTTTAACAAAAATATCCGGGCCGAGCTGTATATTTCAAAACTAAATATTTGAAATCGCCATTATTAGCTATAAAAATCAATAATAAATATTAATTATTTTAAAAGAATTGGGGCCGGGCCTAAAAATTTTTTTAAAAAAAACCCGGGCCGAAAAAAATTTTTAAAAAAAATCCGGGCCATGCCCTGAAAATGGTACCTCTGCTGGGTTCTGTTATTCATCTTAAAAAAGAGAATGTTTATGGGAAGAGTTGCTAATATATATAACCATTTTATTACATTGGGAATATAATCTAAAATTTGTTTGAAATAATGCAAAGCATCCATAGCATTTTTTTAGGACTATATCTATCAACCATAGTTAATCTTTTAATTATAGTTATTCAGCTAATAAGGCATCATAAGATACGTTAACATCTTCATGATAAAAATTTAACAAATATTTATTTTTTTTCTATCACCATCTGAAAAAGGTTGGAAAGGCTTTTGTGGAAGTAATATCTGCGGATTTGTAAGTGCTGCTTGATGAATTAAAAACCATTCATTTATTTGGGTTATAAATATATCTAAAAGAGGGGACATTTGTTTTATAATTACTGATCCTATATTAATGTTTTAACGATGAGCTTGCTTGCTGCAAGTCGAGGGGGACAAATATTAAACACGTATAGCTCTGCTTTTGGCTCAACAATAACATATAAAATATGAAATTCTTCATCAACATTAGCTCTAATTTCCTTGAATTCTAATAAAATGCTCTCCGCTATTCTCATCTTCTTAATCAAGTCAATGTCATGTTTTTGAAAAGTATTACATAAAATAGTTGTATAATTAAATAATACATTCTAATGAGAAAAAAATTTTGGAGTATGAGTATTGAATCCAATAATTTTCTTGCTTCTGAGGAAATATTTCTTTCAAGCCATTGTGATAAGTAATAGCATTAATAATCGGATCTTCTAACTCCATAAAAGCTGTTATGTTTGATGGCGGAGACTCGATCTCGTTGGACAAGCTTGCAATTTCTTTCTTCCTGTTGGACAAGGAGTTTCAGAGATAATTATTATTTGACTAGAAATTTAGATAAATAATACGAACTAAAATTTGAAAATAATAGGTAAATTACGCCAAGGAAAACTTGAAATCAAAATTAATTGATAAAATAACTTAGTAGATGAATGAAATAAATGTAATTAAATATATATATGAGATAGGAATAAATATTTACAAATATAAATTAATAATAACAATAATATTTTTGAAAAATATAATCCGCCATCTGCATTTTGTGGCTTTGGGGGGGGGGGGGGGGGATTTGTCCCCCTGCCTCCTCCCGCTGCGTCTGATTATATTAGAATATACATTTTATTTTCATATTATAGAATTATTAGTTTTTGAAATTCGATATTAAATTTGAAGTATTATAAGCAAAAAAAAATATTTATATACATAATAATAATGGCTTAATATTAATCAAGCATTAACAGTTATAGCTTAATTTATTTTTATTATTTTATAAATATAATCATGTATTATTTGGAAATAAAATAAATCCAATTAATATGTGTTAGCCGAGTTCAAAATCACTAATCAACTATATTATTCATTTTTAAATTTAATTTTCTATACCTCTTCCTAAGAAAACTAAGATCCAAACCAATATATGAAACTACTCTGTTAAAACTCAAAGTATATTAATGAAGTCATCTTATACTCATTTATTTTATATTAGATAATGAAGAAAGAAGAATTTTATTTTGAGATGAATGTTTTAAATATTGGAAATGGAAGCAATATTGATAATATTTTAGACAAAAGAGGAGGCAAGGGAAAGAGTTGAAGGGCAAGTGTATTTTAAAACCACTTATACTCATTTATATATTTACTAGATAAAAAAAGATGAGCTATTGATTTTGAGATGAATGCTTTAAATAATGGAAATAGAAGTAATATTGATATTGATATTTTAGACAAAGGAAGATGAGGCGATAAAAGAGTTGGAGTTGAGGAAAGTACATTTAAAAGTTTTTCAATTTCTAACTATATTTAGTTAATATAAAAAGAGTAATTATAGTTCTGAGAAATATAAACATTGAAAGCTAAAAGGTTAAAAGAAAAAAAAATTAATTAATTTATATATAAAATATTTTATTTGTAAACAATAGAAGCTATATGTAAGGCTCAATCTGAAGATATCTTTTCTGGTATTAAATTTTCTAATATAATTAAAGGTAAAATTAAATACAGATATGAATTCTGATGTTATCAAAAATGAATATGTTTTTATCACTAAGTTGCTAAATTTTTTTATATTCGAAATCACAAATATTTAATGCTCCTTAATATTATAAATTATAATATATATTCTGCAAGCGCAAATATTTATTACTGTAATAAATAAATAAATATTTTGTATAAAAATTTATCTTAAGCTTACGGCAATATAAGAGGTATGTGGGGGGGGGGGCGTTTTTAGTTAAGCCCTCTAGGATTGTAAGGCTAATGACACCCCGAATATATAATATTAAAATAATATACATTATATTATATAGAACAGTAGAGAACCTAAGCAATTTTCCTGCTGAAATGCGTTCACTGAAGGATAATATAATATGAATTAAAAATTAAATGGGAAGGATTTAGATAAGATGAACGGGTATAGTTGGTGAAAACTGGAAATATTTTAGGAATTGCAAATTAAATACTTTTTACTTAGGTCATATGCATTACTGAAATCATTTTAACTAAATGTATGTGGTGACATTTTGAACACATTGTGGGATATTTGCAGCTGCCTAGCATCCTGAACTTCTTAGGTAAAAAATTGGCATATTTCTGATAAGAAATTGGTGTAGTTTCACCCATAGATTTTTTGGTCTGCCCCTTAAAATAATTCTACAAGTTGTCTTGCCAGGGTCATAATAATTTTTTATAGAAATGATGCAAATTTTTCTAATTCTAAGCTTTTAATTGAAAATTTCAAGTCAAGCCCATAGAAATATTTTGCACAAGTTTGCCTGGCAGGATTATTGAAAGTAGAGGTCTGTAATAGGCGGGTTTTAACCCAAACGCCTGTCTGCCCAGTTTACCTGCTCGTCCACCCACTAATGATTTTATTAGCTCTAATATTATAATATAAACCGTGACTACTGAATTTGGCTTGATATTATTCATTTGTTTCGTTTCAGAGCAACAAGCTTTGCTCCAAACAAGGGCCTCTTAAATTTGGTATGTCACTCTTTATAATCTTGTTAAATAATTGGATGATTGATTTTATATAATAAACAGGTTTGGTTGGTCAGAATTAGTGTAGTTAAATTCTGGAGATATAAAAGGTTGACGTTTTCTAGCTCAAAGACAACATCTCGCTCAAAAGATTTGATGGATTTAAAAACCTTCTCTGGAATGAAAATTGGAATGGAATCCTTGGTTTCGCTAATAGTAATAAAGGTGTTTATTCAATCATTTTTGATAAGTCACTATGTTTGTTGGAGCAGTTGTATTAAAAGAACTTAAGGCCCTAAGTGTTCTATTTTGGTCAAAATTTGTTTATATAAAAAGGATTAATACTCATTAGATTATGATTTTCATGACTGTTTCCTATCTATTATTATTAAGTCGTTTATAGTGCTAAATAAAGTATATCAATTCTGAATTTTTTTTGTGAATATAGCTTGAAGTATAGAGGTGTTCTATCTACCTATATAAAATATGACTAATTTGAATGCGTAAATTATTTGCTAAAAAGAAATGTAAAACGAGATTTTTGTTCAACATGGTATTAAAAACTTATTTTAAAATATTTTTTTATTAGATTAATTAATCGAATAAATGAACATATGTAGGGTACATGGTATTACAATACATATTTTGAGAAACTTTGAAACAAAAGCCTAATAGATCAGAGATATGCTATGCCCTGCCGGGTTGAGCCGGGTAAGGCCTGAAAATATTTATTCGGTCCGAGCCGGGCTAAAAATTAACTGGTTGGGATTACAAAAAGTAGAGATGCCCGGCACGCTTAATAGAGAATAGAAAAAAAATTATTCTAAAGCCATTTTGTTAAAAAGATATTTTTTATTTTGCTTATAATCTTAATGATTAGATGATCTGCTACAATGATCCTTCATTCATAAATAAGATTTCTTTTATCTTTATTTATATTTTGGGTGTTTATTGTTATAAGAAAATCATGAAACCAAAATTCTCATCATTGTTGGTTATTTTTCCATAGGATATATTTTTAAAAAATCGGGTCGGGCAAAAACTAAATTCCAACCGGAGGGCTTGAAATTGGCCTTTGCAGATCTTTACAATAAATAAGCAGTTAAAGGTTGTGGCCAGTTAACTCACTAAGGCCATTTATCCATGGTATCTATCCATAGGGTTCAAATATTTTCCATACCGAGGAAAGTATGACGCTTGGGAGTTATCAACTTTACTTGACCAGTGTGTTCATGAATTTATATACCAAACTCACATTTTTTAATCCCTAATTTTTTTAAATCCTGATAAATGAAAATGTGCATAAATATAAATATTATACATAATTTTTAACTATAAGAGATTATTTTAGTTTGATATATACAATAATATTTATAATGATTAAGTCAGTCACTTCATTCATGTATCACGAAGGGGGAAAAGGGGGGGGGATTGATTTTATTTGATTTGAATTACAAATTATAATAGATATTGTTTTTTTTTAATTTAATTTTTTTTACAAAATCAAAATAATCCATTTTTTCGTTTTTGTAAGTATTAGATTTTTTGAATCACATCAAATATTTAACAAATATAAATAATTTTATTATTTTAGGGATACTAAAGGTAAATGATTTATCTCAAAATTTCAGAGGCTTTATAAATAAGCATTAATTAAATTTGAAAAACAATATAACAATGTTGGCATTTTGAATGTTTAGCTCCTTATGTTATTAATTTATATACGAATAAAATGAAAACCAATTTTTTAATTAGAAAAAAAACTTTAATAAATTCTGTCCTTAGAACATTGTTTTTGGTTGACCATTGATTCATCGTTTTATCAAAATTTTTTATAATAAACCGTGGAGAAGAAAAGACAGTGGGTAAATTATATTCAATTTGAAAATATTTGATAAATCAAAAGACACTTTTTAATGGGTGATAAAAAACCTTCTAGTTTATTTTTTTAGGGCTTTGTAAATTTTATCGTATGGTAATCATTATATATTTCGTGTATTAATTTTTTCGTGGTTTGATTCCTCGCTTTTGGAATAAGATAAATCATGTAATAGTGCGTAAATAATCGCTCCTAGAGTCCAGTGAGCTTCTTTTCCTTTTATAAAGAGTACCGATTCTATTATTTTCTATAGGTGTATCAATGTAAAGAATTTAAAATAATATAGTAATTAAACCAAATTAGTCATGAATTAAATACACTTTATTATAAATTATACAGTTTTATATAATTTAAAGAATAATATATTGATTGCAGTTATCAATTTTTTTTTGTTTTAAGCTTTTTCAAACTTAACGGAGCTCACTTGAAAATTTTTAAACTTAGCAATGAAAAAGAAAAATTAGAAAGAAAATCCATGTCTCAAAATTCAACATTTTTAAAGGGGTTTTACAAAGTTTTCAACGGGATGGGGATGAGATTGAGCAAATCTGTCCTTTTCCCTGACGATATTATTATTTAAAAGTTAGAGGATTTTAAAAAAACCTGATCCTTTGGAAATTTGAATCCGTCGTGTAACACAGTGTATATCCAAACCGATTTAATACATTGATTGATAATCATATTCCTACTATACGTAGGATTCAATAATACATATTTTTTGAAGGTTTCCGAAGTTGGATTAAACCGCGTTGCGCAATATATGGTAGATTTATTTTCAAAAGCGGTGGAATTATATAAGCCGCCGAGTCCTAAAATATCATGAGATGAATACCAGAATTCTGATATCCCGTAAAACTTAGGTAACAACGTATAATTAGGTAGTTTGGCGTAAAAACCAATTGGATCATGTAAACCACTTAAAGAGCAAGGCTCTAGCGAACATTCGGAATCCAGTTTAAGCATAGGGAGAAGTGATTTGTGACATAATTTAAAGTTTCCGGTTCCTGTAACGTTTATTTTATATGTGGAGTCGTTCTGAGCCCAATTATGAACTAGTAACTTGTATTTATAGCCGATGGGATAGCATGGATCTAGAATCTGAATCGAGTCTCCAGATATATTTGTATTGTTGATAACCTGTAAATGTCTTTATTTAGAAGCAGGGAAAATGTAATTTAACAATTACAACAAACATTTTCGATCTTGATTAATTAAATTTAACTTATTGGATTCTAAAAAATAGTCATTTAAGAGTGAATCAGCAACAGTATTTAACACCTTAAGGCCACGTATCAATACCTATATCTAGATATCTTTTAAAATATGTTTTAAAAACTCAATATTTGATGAGCAAAGAAAATTGGGGAAAGTCAAGTAATTCCTAAAACTATATCAAAATTTTAATTTAACACTTCATTTTTCAATTGAACCTTTTTTCTTTTAATGTGGAACTTTCCCTTATTTGTTTGACCTTCCTGTATTTTTTGATCCTTTTCCTATTTTCGATCGGACCCTTTCTTAAACCTTTAGTCTTTTCTTCCTCCACTGAAATTTTTCCCTTTTCAGTCGGTTCCTATGGGAACTCTTTTTTGATAGGACCTTTTTGTTTTTGTTGGAAAATTATCTATGTTATTATTTTTATATATTACTTTAATATCAGACTTTTTTTATGCATCGCAATGATTTCGTTGGTACCAAATCCTAGTAAAGATGTAACATAAACACCATAATTCCACGCCTTTTTGATAGTCTTGTTAGAAATTCTACCACTTAAATCTAATTGATAAATGGAATTAGCAATTATTTTTCTGGCATATTCTTCAATTTGGCTCGTGTTTTCGGAGTTGTTTAAAAAAAAGTTTGAATAATTGCCTGGGACTTCATAAGCTATTTGAAGTGAACCTCCTCCCATTTCTAATATACCTACAGTGCCTAAATAAATAAATATTTATATTCATGAATAAAGCTAATAATAAACAAAATTTCTTCATAACCGACTTAATACATTAATTTTACCTCCCTCTCCACCTATTCTTCTGGTAATTTTGATTTAAAGTGCGTGTTATTATTTCTAATACTTTAAAAAAAATTGTTTATTTTTACTGTTCGCCTGTCTATCAAACTTTCCAAGCATGTAGTTCATAGCTATCCACGCGTAGATACCTTCCATTTTTCCGCTTATAATCTGAATATGAGAAGGCGGAAAAACTAATTGAGGATACTTGATTGCAATATCATGTCTACAATCTTTCAGTATCGCTTCTTGTTCCTTGAATGAAACCAATCTCATGCCTGCCGTTGCCATTATATACAGCGGGGTATCTTGTAACTTTGGTAGGGGTATTTTTACGATAACAGAATCTATCAATTTAATTAGGTATTCTGCTGAAAAAGTAGCATTGTTTGTAAATGATGATAGCCCTAAAATAAAATACACATTAGTGGTATCTTTTTAAATTAAAAATCATTATTACATTACAATAGTGTCCTCTTACAGTATATAAAATCTGTAATCTGGATTCAAAAATATGCGAAACTAATTCTGAGACATGACAGGACTTTGAATAAGTATGATTTTAACTTTAAGTTTTCTCGTATTAAAGGGTAAATAAACTAATATAAAAAAAATTTCTAATAAAATAAAAATTTTCTAGCAGCTTTTCAGGGGTTGAATTGCTTTTTCCCACTTTCAACAAATCATAAATTTATGAAAATTTCCCATTTTTTACAAATAATGAAAAGAATAAAATTATTTATTAAAGAAAGTTGGTATGAAATTAATTAATTTTTAATATGATCTTTGAGGAATCTCCCATACAAGAGAATTCCAAAAATATTTTTGTTTATTACAATATAACTTTAAAATTTATTATATCATTTTTTTATTAGTAAGAAAAAAAGTAAAGTTTGGATATCCTGTAAAAGTAAAGTCCTGAAAATTCATTTTTTCTGTCCGAACCCAGTCCGACCAAATTTTTTTATTAATTTTTATTTTTTTAGCTCAACCAGGCTGATTTTTTTAAATTTAAAAATATAAGCCCAGGCCCGAGTTTTTAAAAAAAATATTAGGTCTGACCTAGTGTTGTTAAACAGTTTGAGCCAATTTTTAAAAACGGCTAACTCAATATTTTATTAGGAAAAATATTATGCAAGCCTTAAGATTTTGCTCATAGGTGGCACAAAGGTTTGAACATCTATTAACCAAATCTCGAGGCTTAGACAATATTTTCTGGCTAAATATTGAGTTAGCCATTTTAAAAAATCGGCTTGAATCGAGCCGTAACAACACTAGTCTGACCCAACTAGCCCCAAATTTTTTTTAAAAAATTGGCCATGACCGGGCTCTCTCTAATTTAGACTAGGCTTTCATTTGTTGTATGAATTCATTTCTATGCATAGATAATTACAACAAAAAAATTAATAAGATCTTCCACTTTTGGTTAAGTTGAATCTCTGAAACTGGAATTCTATGACGTTAACATTTTGTCTGAAGTAGCTGATATTTCGCCTGACATATTATTAAAAATGTAAAATAAAATCAAGAAATATATTTTTGGTATTGGTAGAGAGAAAGAAGAGGCTTATCGGCTCTGGTAATCCATTATTATTTATAATAAAATAAAAAAATTTTTAGAATTTTATTATAGACTTACAAATTCGTTTGCAAATATTTTTTTAATAGTAATAAAATGAATATTATTTAAAATATTTTCTAAAAAAACATAATATAAGTGAAATTTTATATATTTTCAACCCTCAAGGACAAAGAAAAATTATATACTCCCATTTATTATTTTCCCCAATATTTTCTCGCAGATTCATCTCCCCCCCCCCCCACAGTCTCTTGCAGACAGATTGCCCATATACTAAGCCGGTCCCTGCTTAGGGGGATCTATGGGAAAATTGATTATATTGAAACTAAAAAAGGGAATACTAATATATAAATGAAATATAAAGAGTCTAAAAAAGATGACAAGATTAGAAAAAATGCCTAATAAATACATTTTCAAAATAAATTACTTCAGGGATTAGTCATGGATTAGTAAACCCGAGGAACGTATCATCTTTTAGCCGATATAAAATACCCTTTATGGCCCAGTATTGAAATGTTTTGACGCATTTCATTACTTATTGTGCCTCGTTCCCTAATATTCACAAAGTCTCATTTAGGGTATAAATGGCATCATTTTATAAGCAAAAGTATAAATTTTTTTAAAAAAAATCTGATTATAAGGTAATATTCTTGTAGGATTCGACTCTTTAGACTCGGATGGGCCATTTTAAAATTTTCACTCGCCAGACCTGATCGGACGAAGAATCTATAGGGCGAAGCCAGATTCAAATCTCTGCAAGGAATTTAAATGATTGTTTTCCTCACACATTTTATAAATCTTCGATTCTTTAGAAAAATAAAATCAAAATTAGCTCGAGCATTTATAATTTTCTATATTTCCTTGAAAAATTAATAAACCATAAATGGATCGGGGTCAGGAATTATTTGAATTCGTATCTTCACATTTCTGAAAATAATAGAATTGAACAAATCTGACTCGGATAATAAAAATAAAAAAATTTATCGGCCGAGTTGGACTGGAGATAGTAATCCGATGAAGGGCTCTAAATATCATACGATCTTTTAAAACTATTACTAAAAATGCTTGCTGGTTTTAGGGTGGGTGGTATCTTGGCCCTTTTATTTAAATGCTTGCAATATTTTTTTTCAAATAATATTATATAATTCATTTAAATTTATTTGATAAAAAAAAGACAGGTGGAAATTTTCCCACGCCTAAAATACAAAATAGTCAATATTGTTAATCACTCGCGGACCTAGTAGGAGGAAGTGGGTGTTAAAGTTCTTTAAAAAATATATTATTGGATTATTCAAAAAAAAAAAATTCATACAAATTTTGCAGGGAATGAACAAGCGTAGACAAATTAAGTCCCTCTAGGTGGCAGATAATTTAAACTTGTATTAATAAATTAAATTATTAGAAAAATTTACAAAACTATTGATATTAAATTAGTCTAATGCAATTTTTTTCATATTGTAAATATACCAGGCATTATCTTCCTTACTAATGCCTTGTTCATATTGTCAGGGTCCTTGGCAAGTTCTACCTTTAAGTAATCTATGGATAGCCTCTGAGAATAGCGTGACTTTGAAAAGCTAAGAAACGTATCATTTTTTATTTTAGAATTATTGGCAGCTAAACTATTTGAAGAATTAGGCATGATAAAATAATATTTGTAAACAAATATTCGGCTTCCACTGCTACCGGCATCAATGATTATTATATATTTATAATCGTTAACAGGAAAGTTGGTTAAAATTGGAATATTTTTTTCTATTTCCTTTATAAGAAAGTGGAAATCAAGTGAACACGCTATGTTTAAATAGCGTATTATTAGCAGAAGAATTGAATATAAAAGAATATAATTTTTCATTAGGCGAATTTATGAACAATATACTAGTATAATATAAAGAAATAGAATCCAAATTTTGAGGGATAACATTAAATATTAAATTTGTTTTTAAAAAAAAAAATTGAAACATTCATCATCTATATTGGCATGTTTATAATAATTTTAAAAATATTTATATTCGGTTCTTAATTATATACTAATACAAATCTCCTGTAACTATTGTCTTTAAAATTATTTATTTATTATCTTTTCGAATTCGATTTGATTCCTTTTCTTCCTTGGGCTACTTAAAACTTGAAAGAATAAAAAATAATAATTCTTTATTATTTTATTTTTTAAATTCAAAATAATTTTTTTTATAAATAATTATTTCGCCAAATAAAATTTATATATTTCAATGTTGTACATGTTAATTATAACGTAAAGGCGTTATATGGTTTTGCTCTCAGAAGATTAAAATTTATTATCTAATTCTTTACTTTCCATAAAAAAAAGAAATACGTTATTTTATTCTTTCTAAAATTTAACGCTGTTCGTTACTTTTAAAATAAAATGTAGTAGATATTATTAGTTATAAAATAAAAAAGAATAGGACAATATTATAATTAAAAAGGAACGAAATGTATTTAATTTATAATAATAGTGTTGCCAATAACTAGTTATGTAAATTTCTACTAAAAGATAATGAACTAGCTACATTTTAAACTAATACTTATTTTAGACTAGTATATGAAAGTAAAGTTTAATGTGTTTCAATCATTTATTTCAAGCTTGACAACCAGATAATTTCTAAATTCCATAACAAAATTAACCAAAAAAAATGGGCCACAAATAAATAACCAATTTTGCTTTAAATTACAGGCCAATTTTGGCACTAAATTATTATAATATTCTATTTAAATGAGATTTCTTTATAGCATGAGCATTAAAATCAGATTTAATAATGTATGATATATATTTAAATTATTTTAAGCATTGGAATAGCTAATTTTTAGCCGAAAAATTTACACAACCTTAGAATTAGTTTCGTAAGAAATAATATTAATAAATTTTTGGACTATTTCTTCTGGGGATCAATTTAGGTGGTTAATTTAAAATAATAAATATGCTTTAGTTAGCAATAGGAAAATAATCTTATAGACTATATATTATTTATATTAAATTACAATATTTATAAAATTTATCGGTTCGGTTCAGGTTCCAGGAAGAAAAGATTATAAAGGTTTAGTTTCAGCTCAGGTTTTTAAATTCACCCTCCCGCCCATTAAAACTTTTGTTCAAACCGTCCCTGCCTAATGTTTAAAAATTATTTTATTTTTTAAAAAGATTTATATCATAATACTTCCAAAAATAATTAAACTCTAAAACGAGCAACTATTCTTCATAATTATTCTCTGATTATTAAAATTATAATTATATTAATTTATGTAAATGTTGATATTAAACAATATTATTTGCCAATCATTTAATATAGCCAGGAAGTTGATATTTACGCTATTTTCATTAAAAGCTCAGTAATTAACAGTGTAGGCAAAATTTTTTCAGTAGAGTAAGCATAAGTTTTAATGCATAGGTTTTATAGTGGTTTGCTTCCAGTAAATTTTTTGTCATCTAGATGATGGTCATTTTTATGATGGAGCCCCTTTCACACACAAGTAACTGCAGCCTGCAAAAAAATTGGCGGATAATTTTTCCAATCAAATTCATCACCTAAATTTGTTATCCGGTTTGATGTGTATGAGAAGAGTGAATCAAGTGTATCACAATTTTTTTTTTTACAACACAGCCGAAAAATGTACTTAAAGCATAATAAATGACAAGTATAATGAAGTTATAAAACTTATAGGTTAAAATACTTCATTCATTCACTTAAGCCGTTGGTCTACGACTCTCTTGAAGAAAATGCACGCGAGTTATGAGAGCCCCCTCATATAATCACACTGGTTTCTCTCTAGGATACCAAAAAAACCTTGTTACTTATATAAGAATAATAAAAGAGATGGAACTAAAATTTCTCTCCTTAGTTGTTTAATTATTTTAAATAAGTTTTATTAATTAAAGTATTTAGAGGATTGCGTTATGAATGTAAACAATACACAATGTCGAGATATACAATATCGTCGTAAAGGTACAGTTCGAGATTCATCTTGGCCACCAATTGGGAAGAGTTAACGTTAATTTTAATGCTTTAATCAAAATTATTTTTAGAAACATTTATTAAAAAAATTCAATCTATATTAACAAATTAATTTGAATATTATCAAAATCAAAATTTATCTATTTAATATTAATGTATTATAAATCGTTTTTCTATTAACGGTAACCAACTAAATAAATCATAATTCATAACCCATACGGCTTAATAATTAAATGAACTATTTGCGATAATAAAATCATGCTGAGTTTATCAACATCTCACCATATTCCCCATTCTTAAACTTCAATTTATCTCTAAATAATTAGAGCCTTCCTATCCTGGACCATCTAATTCTAGCAGCGTCTACATGAGCGGGGGGGGGGTGATAGGAACAGTTTGCATCCAATTTCTCTCGAGGGGGTAGGGGGTAGGCGCCTTTATAGGGGATAGGATAAAATTAGAGGGTTATCTATCAAATTTTTAGATGAAATAGGACAAATATATTGCTGTAAAGATTATTACTTTTATTATAGACCTATTATAATATAATATATTGCTGATAATTGACCAAATTTATATATTGCAAACAATCATACACATTAATTTCCAAATAAAACTTTCTGCTATACTTTTAAGTGTAATTTAAAAGGGTTAGACATTCTCAGTAAACTCATATTCGCCCGAACATTATGCTATAATTATGCATTCATTATAAATGTGAGGGTTTTGAATTCATGATCTAAAGAATATTTCTTTTATATTCACAATATTTTGATAGTTGGTAGTAGAGCCAAAATAATTTAAGTTATGCTTTATAAAATGTATTAAAGGAGTACCATTATAATTAAAAAGGTGTAATTAATAATGTAAAAACATGGGCACCGAAGGCGGTAAAAAAATTTGGGGGGGGGGGGGGGTAGGAATAGGTTTTTGAGGAGGGTTTTCATTGAGTGAAAATCCTGTCATGTAGACGCTGAATTCTAGAACTCTTCATTTTGTTTGTGCTCTCTTGTGTTTATTCTCTTAGTTTTTTTAATTGTTTATGGACCTCCTCTTGGTCCATTTTACCGTTTGTATTGTGTATGCCTCGGGCCTTTTTTTAATAGACTTGGCCCCCATTTTATATTAGCATTGTATGTTCGGGCCCATGCCAAAGTATTTTAATTGTTGCGACCATAATTCGTTGTTTTTAGTAACTGGTCATCTAAGCCGTAATTGATTCACTCTCCTTCTTATTTTATGTTTGAATACCACGTCTGGCTTAATTCAAGTTTCTGGTTAATTAGTCGTCCTATAATTTTTTAGAAACTAGAATAATCCTATTTTGGTGTTATTCGTCTTATCGCTTCCTTGACTGTACGTACATATATTTCTGCCTGATCGTTAGAAGTTGGGTGATAATGAGACGTAAATAATAGCTTTATTCCACTCCACCTACAGAACCTTTGTAATTGACCTAAATTGACCACCTTGGTATGAGACCAATTGAATTTCCGAACCTAGAGAATACTTTTGTTAGTTTTTCTATTACTACTTTGACTGTTATCCTTAACTTCCTTTCTAACTCGCCCCACTTAGACACTATCAACTACCATCAAATAATATCCGTTCTGTATTGGATCCATTATGCTCACGCGTAGCTTGCTCCACGGTTCCTCAATTGGTTCACAACTATTAAATGTATTTTTCCTTAGTAGGCACTTTTTTATATTCGGTGTAGCTTTAGCTCAAGTTTTCTATCTGTCTTTTTCTCTAGCTAGTACACATAGCCGCCCGTTCGATCAATTTTTTATCCCAAATTGTATTTAGATCCTGCATAATCGTGTGTAACTTAATCGTTTCAGTTTTACCATTAGTGTCACTAGGGGATGGGAAGCGCAGGGGCTCGAGCCCCTTAAAAATTTGACTAGCCCCCTGAAGCGAAAAATTTTTTTTTAATGCCTCCCTAATATCCCTCTGAATTAAAAATAAATTATTTTGATAGCCCCCTGAACGATTTCTTTTATATTTCTATTATGTATTATATAGATTTGATTTTATTATTTAAAAATTAATAAGACACTAAATTTTTATTAAATATTATTTTAATTAGATTAGATTAATACATATAAATTATATTTTCACTATGTCAGCTTGCATTATTTAAATTATTTTATAACCCTAATTAAATAAACTAGGGCGTCGACCTAGCCCGATCTTCGGCCGGGAATAGTGTAGCATGGGAATCACAAATGGCACCGAATCAAAGATAGCCATGAACAAATAGTGGTTAGTAACAAATAGCGATGAATCACAAAGCATGAGATATCAAAGTTATACAATATAGGTATGGGGTAGAGTAGGTAAATCTAAAAAAAAATTAATGTATCGCCATAATATAAATGAGTGTTTATCAATAGCTTATTTATTGAGCAGAAAGAATGATAAATAAAAATTATAGAAATATTTACTAATATTATTCAAAATAGTAAGCATATAGATGAATAAAAACGATATTGTTCGAGGAATGGGATTAAAATAAAATATTATTCGGAGAGATAAATTGACTTTAAAAAAAAGAGGATCCTTGTGAATAGATATAGAATAATTTAAATAATATAAATATCATACTATGTAATGTTTTTTTTAATAAATGTAAAATCCTATTTAAATAATAAAATAGAAAACCACGTATCGTCCTTTTTTTGAGTTATATAAAAAAAAATAGTAGGAACAAAAAGGCGAATTGTTAAAAAAGTAGGATCCTTAAGAATAGATATATAGTTTTTATTAAATAAAAAAAAATATTGTAATTTTTTGGAATAGATATAAAATCCTATATAATATTATTTAAATAATAAAAATAATGTACTATGTATATTTTTTGTGAGTTATACAAAATAATCAGCAGGGATAAGAGAGCATTATTCGGCCCGACACAAAATGTCAAGCTTTAAAAAAA